TGTGTCTCAGCTTCATCACTTCCTCTGGGCTCTGATTGCGCGTTCGCTGTCTCTGCTAGACACTGGCCTGTGTGCTCGGAGCACCGTGTGGCGTGGGTGCATCCACTGGCATCTGTGGTCTTTCACGGAGTGGTGACGTTTCTCCTGCAGGAGCCCCGGCGGGGCTCTCTGGCCACCGATGCTGCTCACTGTTGGCTGGGGTGGCTGTTCCCTCCTCCATGCGGACTTTGCCCATCATCTGGAACCCTGTGAGCAGAGATTTCAACCTTATCTGCCCCACTTATCAGCCGGGCTAAGTAGAGGCATCGTTTAGAAGCAAGTTTAATTGGAAAACTGGAAAGTAATTTAGATAGGATGACATTTTCTCCAAAAGGGAAATATTATCTTAGGCAATAACTTTGTCATTGGAGATAAAGAATTACAAAATAAGGCTGTTAGGTTTTTAAAGGTTTTTTTTTTTGTTTGTTTGTTTTTTGTTTTTTGACAAGCAGAGTTAGTGAGAGAGAGAGCCAGAGAGAAAGGTCTTCCTTTTCCATTGGTTCACTTCCCAAATGGCTGCTACGGCTGGCGCGCTGCGCCGATCCGAAGCCAGGAGCCAGGTGCTTCCTCCTGGTCTCCCATGCAGGTGCAGGGCCCAAGCACTTGGGCCATCCTCCACTGCCTTCCAGGGCCACAGCATAGAGCTTGACTGGAAGAGGGGCAACTGGGACAGAACCGGTGCCCCAACCGGGACTAGAACCCGGTGTGCGGGTGCTGCAGGTGGAGGATTAGCCTAGTGAGTCATGGCACTGGCAGGTTTTTAAAGTTTTTATGTATTTTCGTTTTATTTGAAAGAGAGAGAGAGAGAGAGAGAGAGAGGTCTTCTGTCCATACTCCCCAAAAGCCCACAACAGCCAGGCCTGGGCCAGGCCAAAGCCTGGTGCCAAGAACTCCATCTGGGTCTCCCGTGTGGTGGCAGATCCATTGCCTGCTGCCTCCCAGGAGGCACACTAGCAAGAAGCTGGATTGGAAGCCGAGGATCTGGGACTCAAACCAGGCACTCACATGAGATTTGGGTGGCCCACGCGGTGACTTAACAACTGTGCCAAATGTCCATCTCTTTTTTTTTCTAGCATAAAAATATCACCTTTTTTGGCTTTTACTTCTTAATCTCACAACTGTTTTTTTTTTTAGATTTATTTATTTATTTGAAAGTTAGAGTCATACACAAAAAGAGAGAGATCTTCATCCACTGGTTCCTTCCCCTGATGGTCACAATGGCCAGCCCTGGGCCAGCCTGAAGCCAAGAGCTAGGGGCTTCTTCCAGGTCTCCCACACAGGTGGCGGGGCCCAAGCACTTGGGTCATCGTCTGGTGCTCTTCCCTGGCCGTCAGCAAGAAGCTGCATTGGAAGTGGAGCAGCCGGCACACAAACTGGTGCCTCTATGGGAGGCCAGCATTGCAGGCAGTCACTCTATCTGCTACAACACAATACCAGGCACTCGTGACTGTTTTTTTAGCATCAGTTGATTCTATGGATCCAGGGGCCTTGTAGAAGGGGAGCTGACTCTTCCCTGCCCCTTCCCCAGATACCAAAGTAAGAAGATTGTGTGGTCACATGTTCTAATCCTGTCACATGTGGCCCAACGTCACCCATTTTCAGGGACCCTATCTGTAAACTGGGAATGGAGCGCAGTCTGGCACAATGGGGTAAGCCTTGGGCTGCCTGCACGCCATGTGGGAGTGCCTGGGATGATTCCCGCCCCTGCTTCCATTCCAGCTCAAGACCCCGAGTCCCCGTCACCCATGTGGGAGACCCAGATGGCTGCTTCCTGGCCCAGCCCTGGTTGTTGCAGGCTTTTGGAGAGTGAACCAGTGGTTGGAAGGTCTCTGTCTTTTTGTCTCTCTCTCTCTCTCTCTGTTGCTCTGCTTTTCAAATAAAAAAAGCATTTGAAATAAAATGGGGATAATAATAGTAATCATGAAACACTGTTTGCGTAAGAATTGAAAGGGATGATGTGTGGGAGGGCGTTTGGTCTAATGATCGCGACTCAGGTTGGGGTGCCCACACCTTGTACTGTAGAGCCCCTGGGTTTGAGGTTCAGCTCTGAGCTCAGTTCCAGCTTCCGGGAGGCAGTAGGTGATGGCTCAGGTGACTGGGTTCCTGCCACCCACGTGGGAGACCTGGGCTGAGTCCCCAGCTCTTGGCCTCAGCTTGGCCCCATCCAGGCCATTGTAGGCCTTTGGGGGAATAAACCAGCAGATGAGAGCTCTCTCCCTGCCCTTTCTCTTTCTCTCCTACCGTTTTCTGTGCCTTTCAAGAACACAAAGATTGTGGGAAAATGGAACTAAGAGATGTTTAGTTTTGTGCAATCGAAATCCGTGCAGTTTCTTCCTAATACTCAGTTCCCAGGAACCGTAGCAGGCCCCCACATTGCCCTTTGCCTTCCCAGAGTCCCCATTGTCTCACGCACTGGCCGGCTTCCGTCTGATTTTGAGGCAGTGGTGTGCTGTTGAAATTGTCTGAGGAACACACGCTTCTGCTCTGCTGCCTGCTGTTCCTACCAGCAGTTCTGAGGTGGGAAGCGTCGTGCAGCGGGGAAGACGTGCACTGATTCATTGTTAGCCTTGGCCAAGCCCCCACATCTCTGAGCTTGGGGAATGCAAGATGCAAATGGCTTCCTTACAGGGATGAAGAGGGACTGACCAGACACTGCTGACACAGTGCTGGGCATGGTGCTTGGACAGATCAAGCATCCACGCGTAGTGGATTTTTTTAAAGTATTCATTTATTTTGAAAGCAGAGCAATGGAAAAATTTTAGTCTATGTGCTGCCGAAGCAGTGGAAAAAGACACACACAGAGATCTTCCATCCAGTGGCTCACTCCCCAGATGGCCACAGCAACCAGGTCGAGGCCAGGCTCAAGCCAGCAGCCAGGAACTCCATCCTGGACTCTCACGTGGGGACTTGGGCCATCTGCTGCTGCCCTCCCATCACATTAGCCGGAATCTGTCAAAAGCAGAGCAGCCAGGACTCTAGTGGATGCTCCAGTACAGGATGCTGGCATCACAAGGAGCAGCCCATGACCCCGCAAACCCCCTGACTTGGTGCTGTCCCCACCAGTGACCAACGGCTCGGGGGACAACAGGCCCAGGGTTGTTCAGCCTCGGACTCAAGTCTCTGAGGTCTAAGCCCTGAGCGCTCGCTTCCACCCCAGGTGGTGTCACTTTTTTTCCCAAGCCTTCGTGTATGCCAGACATTCTTATTTAATCCTCACAAGGACACAGCTTGCACAGCTGAGAATACGTAACCCCAACGTGGATACACGTGTTTACACCAGACGGTGGATAGACTGGAGGGAGGGCTTCCAGGGAATTTGGGTCAAAGAGAAGTGCCCTCTGGGGAAACGGAGAGGGTAGTGACCTTGGTGGGTGCCTGTCTGGAGCCAGGTCCTTTGCCAGCCCCTTATAGCCACAGCCTTAGGGTCTGATTTTCTCATTCCATGTACAGGTGAGGAAGGGGGTAACCAAGGACAGGCACAGAGACGGATGAGTTGGAATTTGAATCTGATATCGACTCAAACACGGAGCTCTTTGCCCTGGGGCTGGGCCTCTTGGCACCTGCCACCCATGGCAGAATCTTCTGAAGGTATTGGTGGCTGAGCTCCACCGACAGAGATTTGGAGTCAGTGGGTCTGGAATGCTCCCCCCTCCCCAGCAGGTGGCTCGAGTGAGCAGCTGGGGTGGGCGCACAGCCTGCTAAGCAGCTCTGAGATTCTGGAACATGGGCACAGCCCAGAGCTGACAGTCATTGTGCTCAGCTGGCCTGCACCCAGACCTCACCACAGCCTCTCCTCCTCCTCCCCCATAGAGAACGGCTGCCCTGTTGTTCCCACGGCGTGAGACGTGATGCCTTCATGAGCGTTTCGCTGCACTCCCTTGGCGGATTGAGTGTGGGTCTCGGGCACTGACCTCTCCTAACACGAGAATCCTGGGGAGCCCTCTCACCAAAGGCAGCCACCATTTTGCCCTCTTGTTCAGCCAGGAAGTTGAACTAAAAGTTTGTTTTCCACTACTCTCCAGAGTTCCTGAGAAAAGTCTGGGCTCTTGCTATTTATTTATTTATTTTTAATTTTATTTATCTGAAAGGCAGAGAGAGAGAGAGAGAGATTTTCTATTTTCTGGTTCACCCTCCAAATGCCTACACTAGCTGGGTCTGGGTCATACTCAAGCCAGGAACCTAGAACTCAATCCAGGTGTCCCTCATGGTGCTAGGAACCCAAGTACTTGAGCCTGCTGCCCACCAAGGTGAGCCTTAGCAGGAAGCTGAAATCCAGAGTGGAGCTGGGGACTCGAGGTGTGTGGTGCCTAGTGTGGGATTCGGTTGTTCCCAAGTGGCATCTTAACCACTGCACCAAATGCCCACTCCTCTCCCTCTTTTTTTTTTCAAGTGGGTACATGAAACATTTTATGTTTCCTTCTCCCAAAAAGGAAAAAATAGGGGCCAGCATTGTGATATAGCGGGTTAAACCACCACCTCTGACGCCAGCATCCCATACGGGTGCCGGTTCATGCCTGGCTGCTCCTCTTCCAGTCCAGCTGTCTGCTATGGCCTGGGAAAGCAGGAGAAGATGGCCCAAGTGCTTGGGTCCCTGCACCCACATGGGTGTTAAGAGATAAAGGAAGGAAGGAAGAAAATGAATTCAGTTGCTTTTTACATTTGATGTTTAGGACACATAAAACATAAAACGCTTCCTGTCACCACAGACATTGTCCCTGTGAGGTGGAGCAGCACTCACGGGAGAGTGAGCTCCAGGCTCCCCCGGCTCCGGGCACCTGTCACAGTCCTGTGTGCTCTGATCGTGAGCGTCTCCAGTGCCTGAGATGGACGCCCAAGCAAAAGGCTCTGAGTTCTCTCCACTAACTCAGGAAGGAGCTTCAGTTGGTTATGCCCAAAGTGAAACCTGAGAGTGCAGGGGATTAAAGATTAGCCAGTCCTGAGAATCGCCCTGTGACCAGCTTAGAGAGAGGTGTGGGGAGAGGGGCAGCTCCCGAGAAGGCGGAGCCGTGCAAGTTTGCGGCTGCTCCCACTGTCACTCTGCACCCCAGCAATGGACGTCCTATTCGGCAGGAATAAGAAAGAGCAGCTGGAGCCGGTGAAGGCCAAAGTCAGAGGTGAGCACTTGGTATGAAAGGCGGGCTCTTCCTCCGTGCTGAGACGGACACCCTCTTTCTGATGACAGAAGCCACGCTTACTGCACATTATTGTCGGGGCCGGGGGAGGGGGAGTGACCTGTGATGTAGACATATCTGCTGTGAAGCTGTCACTCAGTTCACCAGGGAGACAGCAGTTGTCCCTGCTCATGGGAGGACGGTGTCACCAGTGCCACCACTGGTACCTCCTGGACAATGAAACTGTGTGCAGAGGCGGCCCACTGCAAATGTAGGATGTATTTGTGCAAATGTGTGCATGGTAAATTCAAGATTAGTATGCTCGTGCACACTTGCCGGGCCGTGGAACAGTGCACGAGGGTTTCTCTCAGGTGCCCACAGGTGTGATTCCAGCTCACGAACACCTGCAGGGCCAACGAGCTGGACCCAGAGCAGCCTCTCTTCAGGCACAATCTGTTAGTCAGCTTCTGGCTTCGTTTCATCCGTCGATTTCTCTTGATTTCTCCTGATTGGGGTGGACTCATTCCTTTCACTGTCCAGTTTAGGCTCCAGTGGGCAGTCACAGGCCCTGAGCTCTCTGGTCCCCTGAGCAGCCCTCGCCCGGTTCTGAGAACTGCTCACGAGTCTGCTCGGGCCCACAGGTGTTTCTGATTTTGGATAAAGCTCAGGTGCCAGACGCTGATTGTGTGTGTGTTGACCTGTCTGTCCAGGGAGGCCAGGCCAGGGTCTGGCTGAGCAGGAAAGCAGAAAGGAGCCTGCAGGGAGGCATGAACGCTGAGGGGACGTGGAGGGGCGCCACAGTGTCTGCTCCAGTTCCATCTCAGGACAGAGCTCTCCAGCAGAAACGTAGTGTGTGCCACTTGTGTACTTACAAAAAAATTCATCTTTATTGGGAAGAGAGGGCGAGAACCTGCTGGTTCACTCTGCAAATGTCCAGACAGTTGGGCCAAGCTAAAACCAGGAGCCTAGAACTCAACCCAGGTCTCCCATGTGGATGGCAGGGGCCCAGTGACTTGAACCACCACTGTTACCTCCCAGGGTCAGCATTGGCAGGGAGCTGGAATCAGAAGGTGCAGTCAGGAAATGAGCCCAGGTTCTCTGATGTGGGCCGTGGGCACATTAACTGCCGTGCAAAATGTCCCCTCCCCCACTTCTTGTGTTCAAAAAAGAAGGAAGGAACAGAAAATTAATCTCCAAAGTGTGTTTCCTTTCATACAACGTCTCCAGAATATTACCCATGTTAGCAATTGCTCAGGAGATATTTTACTTTTCCCTACTCAGTCTTTGATATCAGCTGTGTGTTGGAGTATCGCTCCTCTGGTTCAAGTCATGTCTGACAGCCATGTTGCAGGTGCACAGTCACCACAAGGCGCTGCTGGCCACCTCGCTGCCTAGTGCGGCTCTGGCCTGCCCTTGCCTTACTGCTCTGTGAAACAAGCACCCACTCTCCTTCAAGACTCAGCCCGGGGCTGGCACTGTGGCATAACGGATTAAGCCGCCATCGCATATGGATGCCAGTTCGAGTCCCGGCAGCTCCACTTCTGATTCAGCTCCCTAATAATGCAGCTGGGAAAGTAGTGGAGGATGTTCCAAGTGCTTGGGCCCCTGCACCCATGTGGGAGACCCTGGAGGAAGCTCCTGGTGCCTGCCTTCAGCCTGGCCCAGCTCTGGTTGTTGCGGCCATTTGGGGAGTGAACCAGCGGATGGAAGATTTCTCTCTCTCTCCCTCCCTCCTCCTCTCTCTCTCTCTCTCTGTAACTCTGCCTTTCAAAAAAAAAAAAAAATCAATCAATCTTTAAAAAAAGAAAAAGGAAACTTGGCCAGGTATCCTCCTCCAGGAAGCTACCTCATGTTCCTGGTGTCAGCCCACACGGAGCGAGGTTCTGTTCTCTGCAGCCCCCTTGGCTGAGTCTTCAGCATGGCTTCCACCACAGTGTGTGCTGAGTGCCTGTTGTCCTCTCTCCTCATGGACACGAACAGCTGGGGGACAGCTGTTCCATGCCTGCAAAGCGCCAGGCGGATTATACATTGTGCAGAAACAAGCCAGCATGGACCAGTGGTGCGGCCAGTGGTGCCGGGGCTCCCTCCACAGCCCCATTCCTCTCCACGGCGGTGTCTTCCCTTTCTCGGGTTTGGATGCGGAGTTGGCGACTGAAGATTCTTTCTCCCAACAGGTCAGATTCCGCCATGGCTGCAGGGCACCCTGCTGCGCAACGGGCCCGGCATGCACACGATCGGGGAGAGCAGATACAACCACTGGTTCGACGGCCTGGCCCTCCTGCACAGCTTCGCCATCAGGGACGGTGAGAGCACGGGGCAGGGGGTCCGCTGAGGCTGCTGTGGCTCACAGCCACGGGTCTCGGGACCAGCACCACACACGGCTCTTCTCTTGCCAGACCAGAGGTCACGAGTCTACGACGGGTTTTTCACTGTGCTAAAATCAAGGCTCTGACAGGATCCAGTGGAGAATCTGTCTCCGTGCCTCTCTAGCTCCTCGAAGTCATCTGCGTTCCTTGGCCTGTGGCTCCATCTCTGTCCTCAAAGCCAACAGTGTAGCATCCTATAGTCCCTGCCTGTCTCTCTCTGCATCCTTACACCTCCTTCTCTAACTCAGACCCTCCTGCCTCCCTCTCATCAGGACCTTGGTGGGGACGTTAGTCATCCAGAGCGATCTCCCCATCTCCAGATCTGCGAAGTCCCTTTGCCACGTCAGGTGACAGGTTCCAGGGATCAGGTCGTGGACATCTCTGGGTGTGGGGAGGAGGCACCGTGCAGCCTGTCTCGGGCACAAACCTCCCAGGAAAGATGGCCCTGCCTCTTTTTCAGGGGTTCACCTTGCAGAATGACACGTGTCCTCAAGAAGGTAGGCAAGGGCAGGTGGCAGCACGCGGGCTGTGGAGTCAGACACGGTGAAAGCAGGGAGACCACAGGGCTGAAAAGAACACAGCTGAGTGTGTGGTCCCCGGCAGGGGCAAGCAGTGAATTGGGCAGGTCGCCCAGGGCAGGATCAGAAAGCTGGATCTAGGGCAGAATGCGAGAATTCCACAAATGAGGCGACATTCTGGCTTAGGAGAAGGGCTGCAAAGCCTCTGTTGGCCCTTGGGCTGTCTCTTGTCACTCTTGAGACTTGCACGAGATGGGTTCTTAAGGAAGTCTGCTGGGTTGTAGGTGGCATCAGCGGGGCTGGGTCTCAGAACGGAGAATTTGTGACTGGATGCTCCAAGCTTGGCATGGTGAACTGTGGCCAAGCCAGCCTCAGTTTCCTCACCAGTAAAATGGGCTTCTTCCTCCTCCTGACACCCAGTGCATGCTCAATACATGAAAAACCCAGCAAGATCCCCTGGCCCACCCATTAAATCTGTAAAACCCAGGGCGCACCCATGGCGCACGCAGGGCTTGAGTGAATGTGACAGAGCACCATGCTTCTGACTTGTTTCCCGCTGTGGGATGAGAATCCCTCCATGCCAGACCCCTGCCCAGCTGCCCAGGTGGCCCAGGACCGAGCGCATCAGAGAGGCCACAGCTGGGCCACAGCCTTCTGTCATTTCTCACAGGCTCAGGGGTGAGTCCGGTGCACAGCCCAGGGCAAGAAAGCCCAGAGGCAGAAACCAAGGCTTTAAAAAGGCAGCAAGGAGAAGAGCAGAGCCGAGGGGAGGGAGCTGGGTCAAGGGCAGGGTCTGAAGACCTGCAGACAGATCTCTGTGTGCCTGTCCTCGCTTGCTGCCCTGCCCCCAGAACCATCACACTTGGCCCTGTCCTCGGAGTCCCTGGGGCAGGAGCATGCCTGTTCACCGGGTCTCTGCAGGAGGGAGGAGGCAGGGGATGGAGACCGCCTGGGGGCCCCTCCTTTAACTGTAGTCTCAAAGCCGGGTGTCAGCCGTGAGTGATTCCAGAGACGGCTTCCCGGGCTCTGGGGCCGGGTATGCAGCAGGAGTGGGAGGCCTGTGCACGGCCAGCCTGGGCTGCCAGCTTACTTTTCAAGGGAACAACATTCAGCACCTTAGCCAGTGCTTTCAGGGTGGTGACTCCCCAGAAGGGTGGCCGGCAGAGGACAGGCTGGCTGCGGGGACACCATGTGGCACTTCCACGTGGCCTGTAGCTGGGCAACAGTGTGTGTGGGCTCAGCCACCCCAGGCAAGTCTCTCTGCCTTCAGATTTTGTTGGACCATCCGGAGTCTCGGAAGCCATCTTTTTTCCTCTCTCTCTCCCTCCCCCTCTCCCTCCCCCTCTCCCTCTCCCTCCCTCTCCCCTTTCCTCTCCCTCCCCTTTCCTCTCCCTCCCTCTCCCCCTTCCTCTCCCTCCCTCTCCCTCTCCCTCTCCCTCTCCCTCTCTCTTTCTCTCTTTCTCTCTTTCTCTCTTTCTCTCTTTCTTTCAGATTTGTTTATTTACTTGAGAGACAGAGTTACAGACAGAGAATTCTTCCATCCTGGTTCACTCTCCAAATGACCACAGTAGCTGGAACTGGGCTTGTCTAAAGCCAGGAACCGGGAGCTTCTTCCAGGTCTCCCATGTGGGTGCAGGGGCCCAAGGACTTGAGCCATCTTCTACTTCATTCCCAGGCCATCAGCAGGGAGCTGGATTGGAAGTGGAGCAGCCAGGACTTGAACCAGCGCCCATAGAGGATGCTGGCACTGCAGGTAGATGATTAACCTGCTGTTCCTCAGTGCTGGCCCTGGTAGCTGTCATTTAGCAGAGGCAAACCGTGTGCCAATGGGCCAGACGCCGACCGTTTCGTTTAAAGCAGCCTACCCTGGGAGGGGAGGGGGATTCCCAACTTCCCGGTGAGAAAACTAAGGTTCAAGGAGGTGAAGAGGCTTGCCCAAGGAAACCCTACTTCACTGGGGACCACTGCAGGACCAAGGCCTGGGCCCCTCTGTCTACAGCATCTCAAGCCCGTGCTTAACTTTCACTGAGTGCCGGCTGTGCGTGGAGGGCTTCGCAAGCCTTGCATACCACACTGTAAGGAACAAATCTTGATCCTCGCACCAGCGCGGCGGGGACAGGGGCTTGCCTCTGACCAAAGGCAAGTTTACCGTGGAGCACTCATCCTCAGAGTTGGACAGGAAAACACAGCACTGCCATTAGAAGTCAACACAGCAGGGGCTGGCACTGTGGCCTTGTGGGTGAGGCTGCCGGCTACAGTGCTGGCATCCCATATGGTCTCCAGTTCGAGTACCAGCTACTTCACTTCCAATCCAGCTCTCTGTTTTGTCCTGAGAAAGCAGTGGAAGATGGCCCAAGTCCTTGGGACCCTGCAACCACATAGGAGACCTGGAAGAAGCTCCTGGCTCCTGGCTTCCGATCAGTGCAGCTCCGGCCTTTGTGGCCAACTGGGAGGTAAACCAGCGGATGGAGGACTGTTCTCTCTCTCTGCCTCTCCTTCTCTCTGTGTGCAACTCTGACTTTCAAGTAAATAAATAAATCTTTAAAAAAATACCTAACCAAGATATTAAAAAAAGAAGAAGAAGTCAACACAGCGGTGACTCCAGCAGGGGTGGGGAATTCTGGCCCGCAGGCCACACATAGCTGCAAAATCATTTGGTCCGGCCCTTCCAAGGCAACCGCAGAAGGGACTTGAAATTCAATAAATCTATAGCAGGCTAATTTTTTAATAGAGGTAATATTTAGTTATTTATAAGATTTATTTGTTTTTTAAATTTTTAATTGGTTTAACAGATTCATTATAATGTGATTTTGAAGGACATTATAATCTTCCCTTCTTCCCTCCCCCTTTCTTCCTCCCTCCTTCCTTCCTTCTCCCTTTCTGTCTTTTTCTAGAATTTGAGATAACATATTTTATATTACCATGAAAAGGCTTAATACTTCACTGGATAAGAAGCTTAACAATGGGCCGGCGCTGTGGCATAGCAGATAAAGCCACTGCCTGTGGTGTTGGCATCCCGTATGGGTGCCGGTTTGAGACCCAGCTGTTCCACTTCCAATACAGCTCTCTGCTATGGCCTGGGAAAGCAGTACAAGATGGCACAAGTCCTTGGGACCCTGCACCCATTTTTGTGGGAGACCTGGAGGAAGCTCCTGGCTCCTGGCTTCAGATCAGTGCAGCTCCAGCCCTTGTAGCCAACTGGGGGGATGAACCAGCAGATGGAAGACCTCTCTCTGTCTCTCCTTCTCTCTCTGTGTAGCTCTTACTTTCAAATAAATAAAAGAATCTTTAAAAAAAAGTTTAACAAGTAAAAAGCAAAAAGACCCTAGTTTAGTGGGTAGCAAGCTAATTTTTAAGTTGATGATTTTGTACGATGCTATAAATATCCCAAAGGCCCTTGGCAGAAAAAGTTCCCCACCCCTGCCCAGAGGAAGAGGCAGTGACAGACGAACATATGAAGGGGCTTCCAGGGGCTGCTCGTGTTCTCTTTCCTACATATTACTTTATTTTTATTTATTTATTTTTAGATTTTATTTATTTATTTGAGAGGTAGAGTTACAGACAATGAGAGAGAGACAGAGAGAATGGTCTGCCGTTGTTGGTTCACTTCCCAAATGGCTGTAACAGCTGGAGCTGCGCTAATCCAAAGCCAGGAGCCAGATGCCTCTTCCCGGTCTCCCATGTGGGTGAAAGGCAGAATCAGAGAGAGAGCGAGAGCGAGAGAGAGAGAGAGATCTTCCATCTGCTAGTTCATTCCCCAAATGGTCATAACAGCTGGGGAGTGACCTGGGTCTGGGCTCAGCCAAAGCAAGGAGCCAGGAACCACATGGGTGCAGGGGCTCAAGGACTTGGGCCATCTTTTGCTGCTTTCCCAGGCACGTTAGCAGGAAGCTGGATTGGAAGTGGAGCTACTAGGATTTGAACCAGTACCCATATGGGATGCTGGCACTGCAGGCAGCAGTTTAACCCTCTGTGCCACAATGCTGGCACCTAAGTGGAGTCTTAGCAGTGGCTCCCAGCGTCCACCCCAAAGACTTCTGCTTCTTGATCATGATGTGGTTGACTTAACTCTGTCCAACGTGGGAACTTGGGAAATGTGGTCAGGCCAGAGGGCTGTGCTGACATGTTTTCAGGAATGGACAGGAGAGTGAAACTGATCATTTTTCCTGGTTAAGAGAGCCCACTTCCCTTGCCGGCCTTTGAATTGAGATTACTGCTCACTGTGCAAGGTACTTAACCTCTCTGCAGCTCACTTTTATTAGGTCAGAAATGGGGTGTAAGGGCCAGAGTACCCAAGCCCTTTGCATTTCTTCTGGTGAGAAATTTGAAACCAGGGGGCTGGCACTGTCCACGAGGTGCCGAGGAGGGGCTCACAGAACTAGATGGAGCCCTGAGGGAAGGGAACCCAGCCCACGTAGGCAGTGTGGCCCACTGTTTCTGGCCCAGCGCTCCAAGGGCCTTCCCTCAAGAGGCACCAGTGCGGTGGAAGATACAGCCGATGGCCTGGGCCTGCCTCTCTTAGCAAGCACTAATGAGCAAGACGACTGAATATTTCTAAGCCTCAGTTCCCACATATGGACAACGGGGTTAGGAAGGGCACACTCATCTCAAGTGCAAAATCCCTGTGATGTCGTATTCCAGATGCACACACACATCAGTGGCACCTGTCCTAGCAAACTAACCTCCCCCTCCTCCACCCAGGCCCTGGAAAGCTGGCTCTAAAGCCCGGAGGGTGTCAGGCTAGGGCTGATCCTCTGCTTCTTTTCCAGGGGAAGTCTCTTACAGGAGCAAATACCTGAGAAGTGACACGTACAACGCCAACATCGAGGCAAACAGGATCGTGGTGTCGGAGTTCGGAACAATGGCCTACCCGGACCCCTGCAAAAACATATTTTCCAAGTAACTGCTCATTTTTCATCTGACTGCATCCCGTGCTTTTTGATATCTGTGATGGTCAAAGCAGTCCTCTGGTGATTTTCTCAGAGCGGCAAAGCAGAAGCCCCTGGGCCTGGGCTCCGACCCCAGACGTCAGGCAGATCTTGACGGCTCATAGCAAGAGAGGCAAAGGGCATTTGACAAATTATTAGGTGCCCTCCCATGTGGCTGGTGGGAGGACGGTTTGGAATTTTCTATCAGAATTACAGACGCATGGTCCCTTCGGTCTACAGACACAGTCACTCGTGTCTGAGATGGCAGACGTGCCAGGGTGTTCCTGGCAGCATCCTCTGTCAGAAGAAACTGAAAACAGCCCAAGTGTTCATCAGCAGGAGGGCAGCTTACTAAATAACAGTGAAAGTGTGCAGGACTCTGCCGTGCAGAAGTAAGAAGGAACAAGGGTGCTCTCTGACCTGTATGCAAATATTTGCAAGAGAAACTATTAAGTAGGAAGAAGAGCAAGGTGTAGAAAGAGCATTTATCTACTCTGTTTTGTGCAGAAAACCAACAGGAACTCTGGGTTTGTATTTGCTTATATAGGCACAGAGATTCCGAAAGGATGCTTTGAGGCGGTGGGAAGCTGGCGGGACAAGGAAAGGGGAGATCTTTCACTGAATCCATTATAAATCATCTTGGTTGTGATCCAACAATTAAATTCTCAGCCAGGGACTCGGAGCTTCTGCGATATGTCTGTTCTCTCCTCTTTAGACGTAGAAGGGTTCTGAAAGGGTTAGGGGGGGACTGGCCCAGGGATGGAAGATTACTCCTGCTTTTCCAGAACTGACATCCTCGCCTATTCCGGTATCTGGCCCTAGGGCTGGCACAGGGCGAGCCTGAACTCTCGCAGATGGGGAGCAGGGGAGGAGCCAGTGAGAAAGTGGGGGAGGGCCATGAACTAAAAACCTCAACCTGGGGAGCACCCTTGTAGTTACAGAATTGGTCAGTAGGGGGAGCACTGCTCAGTACTCAAATCCTGTCTGATTTCACCAAAAGCCTTTGGGTTTTCTTTCCTCTTGCTCTGACTGCCTTCAGGTTGAAAGGGTGCACTCATCCATGGTTTGTTTTCCTTTTTGGAAAGAACTACTTTCTTGGACAAATGCGAGATAACCAGGGTGGGCTCACATTACTGCCAAAGTGGGGATTGGGAGTTTGCTGGGCTTTGGGGGCCATGAAGTGTAGCAGGCAGGTTTCCAAAGAGCTGCTTTAAAGCCACCCCTGAATGCCTGCTGGCTCTGGGGAGGGGGGAGACATTGGGATCTGTTAGTCCAGGAGGGGTCAGTTGACACCCGTGTTGTCCTGGGGACTCAACATGGTAGTATCTTTGGGGAACCTGATGCCCAAGTCCCCAGAATTCCTCAAGTGACCCCCTGGGACCGGCACTTTTAGTTTCCTAGCACTTGGAGTGGTAGGAAACCCTAGGGCAGAACTTTCTGGAGAGACATGGCCATGCACCCTGCCAATCTGCTTTCTCCGCAGAGCTTTCTCCTACTTGTCTCATACCATCCCCGACTTCACAGACAACTGCCTGATCAACATCATGAAGTGTGGGGAAGACTTCTACGCGACCTCAGAGACAAATTACATCAGGAAAATCAACCCAGAGACCCTGGAAACCCTGGAGAAGGTTTGGACGAATCTATGAGCAGCATCGTTCCTGACTCAAGAAAGGGACCTCCTGGGGGGGTGGGGGTGTGGCCGTGTTGCCTGCAAGAAGCTCCCCAGAGGGTCCCCTCCTCTAATGCAGTTCCATCCCAGGCTTCGCCTAGCACAGCCCACGGAACTAAACTCCGGGCTCCTTTGAGGGTGGGGGTTGTGTCATTTTCACCACTGTGACTGTTGCTTTCTTGTGCTCTGGTAACAAAGCTGCCGCTGTATAACGGCCTTTTGATCGTTGATGGCCTGAGGATATGCTGGCGTCCCATGAGATGGGACTGCCTCGTGGCAGCCAGCAGAAGCTCTTAGTGTGCGCAAGTTCCTTCACGATGTCCACACAGCGACAAACCACCTGATGACACATTTTGCTCTTCTGGTTTCGGGTGCTGCCAGCACCTTGGTGTTCCCTTGGCTTGGAGACACGCCACTTCAACTTCTGCCTCCATCACCACGTGGCATTCTTCCTGTGGCTCTGTGTGTCCAACTCCCCATCTTTGTAAAGGCACAGGTGGTTGGATGGGAGACTGCTCTAATGCATTGTGACCTCATCTTTAATAAAAAAAATTCTTATTTATTTGAAAGCCAGAGAGAGAGAGAGAAATATTTTCCATGTGCTGATTCATTCCTCAAATGGCGGCAACAGTCAGGGCTGGGCTAGGCCAAAGCCAGGAGGCTGGAACTCCATCCTGGTCTCCCACATGAATGGCAGAGGTCAAGTACTTGGGCCATCTTCCACTGCTTTCCCAGGCACACTAGCAGGGAGCTAGACTTGAACTAGTGCTCTGGTATGGGATACCAGCATTGCAGGCAGCAGCTTAACTCACTGCACCACGGTGCTGGTCCCATGACCTCATCTTAATTACATTTGTAAAGCCCATATTTCCAAATGAGTTCATGTTTGTAAATCCCAGGATTAGGACTTCACAGTTCTACCCATAAGTATGTTCTTGGCCCTGCAGGAACTCAGTGAGTATTTGGATGGATGGATGGATGAAAGAGTTGGAGCACTTGCAATTCCTAGCAGTCCTACCCTGTATTGGCCTGAAGAGGGAGGCATGAGGCAGACAGCAAGGCCCTCGCAGATGCCACTCCTGGGGAGGCTCAGTGAACGTGTGCATGAAAATCGATAGACCCACTTGCAGTTTTCTGCAGCTGGCATTCAAAGCCTGAAGCCTTGGCAATGCCCTCTAACAATCTGGTAAAGACAGTGCTTTTCTTAGCTGGGAAATGATGTCCAGCTCCTTTTAAGCTAGAAGGCATAGGTCCAACTGATGTATGCTTTCCACAAAAGAGAAAACACTGGGAAAGAGCAGAGCATTCCCTGACTCTTGACTTGAGCTTGTGTTGTCCTGGGGGACGAAGGGCATCTGGTTGGTTTCCGGCCACCCTGTATTTCCATGGGGAGAGGGGCTCATTTTCCCGCTTGTTACTGGAGTCTCACTTTGACCAAATGGTCTTGAAACCTCCCAGTCCTTAGAAGAATCCTATGAGAGAGGTCTGGAGATCTACGGCTTTGTGGAGTGCAAACACAACATAGTTAAAGGACTTAACCAGAACGTCACAGGGCAGAGGCCAAGAGCCACGCTCTGGCTCCCTCTGCCTGAGTCATTGCTCAGAGCTTTCTGTAGTGAGGCATCAACCTCCAGGCCTAAGACACATGGCAGGGCCAGGCAACAGGATGGGGCAACAGCCACAGAAAACGGTGCAGCTCACCAACTCCCTGCAACCTGCTCACTCCAGGATCCCACCCCACCCAGTGCGAGGTGTGAGGTCCCCAGAGCAAACCTGGGAGGTGCAAATTCTGCCTTAGTTTCCAATCAGGCAACGTGTTGAAAACATCCTTCCTCTCTCTGAACCTGGAGTGAGTCGGCTCTTCCCAGAATCTCTCCCTCCCCCCGTTTGATACCATGTGGCTGCTGTGTTCTGCAGGTTGATTATCGTAAATATGTGGCGGTGAATATGGCAACAGCACATCCTCACTATGACGCTGCTGGAAACGTTTTCAACATGGGCACATCCATTGTGGACAAAGGGAAGACAAAGTATGTGATGTTTCGGATCCCTGCCGAGGTTCCAGGTGGGTCATCCCCAGGAATGCCCACCAAGCACAACAGCCGAGTGCGGCGCCTCCTAACACCCCCGACTCATTGATGACAACACTTGGGGTGATGCTTCCCCCACAGGTTGTTCAGGTGACCATAAACTCAGCTTTCTCCTGCAGAAGAAAGGAAGAGTTGCTGGGAGTTCTCGTGGAGGAAGGGTCTCCCTTTATTCTAACCTAACCCCCCATTTTTAGGCCCCAGTTCATTTATTTATTCACCCATCTACCCATCATCCTTCCACCCACCCATCCAACCATCCAACCCATCCACCCAGTCACCATCCACCTGTCCATCCACCCAACAATCTATCCACCCACTCATCTACCCACCCACCCATCCATCCATCCATCCACCCACCCACTCACCCACCTACTCACCTCTCCATCCAATCATCCATCCACCCATCCACTCAACCATCTGTTCATCTGTCCAGACAGCCAGCCACCTCCCCATCCAGCCATCTATCTATTCTAGCCTTTTCTTTAGGCTCTAGTACTTTATTGCATTCATTTATCCATCACCCCATCCCTATCCTTCCATCCATTTCTTCACCTTAGGACAAACTTTTGCAGACCACGGCTGTGCCACCCACATGTTCCCCAGCCCCTGCAGCCAGACTCCCAGGGTCGGTCAGGGAGCTCTATCTGCTGGGATCCACTCCAGAGCCCCACCCTGCTCCCCGAGCTTTCTGAGCCTCCTCTACTTGGGCCGGGCTCCTGGAGCACAGCCCAGGCCGGCTGAGATTGCGTGTTCCCGAGGGGGAAGAGGGTGAGGTTCCCAGCCCATGTTTGTCCAGGACCCTCCTGGGAACCACACCCAGGAGACTAGGCCTCAGAGGGCAGCTGCACGGGGCTTAGGAGGCCACAAGGAGCCACAAGAGTGCTCGACTTGCCTTTCTGGTTTAGGACTGCTGTTTGCATCTGGGCTCCCTGCCGGTCCCCTTCCCCCACTGTCCTGTGGAAACTCCCAAACGAATCGCCAGGCTCTGCCAGGATCTGGGAGCCCCTGAGGTCAGAATATACAATGAGTGTCCTTGTTAAATGGAACTCCCGGTAGTTAGGCCAATAAAAAGATCGAGGGTCAAGTTCAGAATCCGGGAAGGTCAGACTTGGGGACCGTCTGGGCATCTGAGTTTGCCCTCCCATGTTACAGAGGAGGACTGTGGGGCCCGGAGCGGGGGAATCAGGGGACATGGCCATGGTCCCAAGTTTGCAGGAGCCACTGACACGTAGGTGGCAGTTCTGAGCACCGACTCCACACTGGAGCACCAGGGGTCATGCCCCGGCTCCCGCTCCCCAGCCAGGGTGCTTTTGTTTCAGTGTGCGTTGTGCTCCATTTGTTTTGTGAAGAAAGGAACCATCCCATAACCCCAGAGCGTCCCTCCCTCCAGCCAGCTGATTACAGTGTGCACAGGTGGCCTCCAGAGGGGCGGGGATGTTTGCAGACAGCTCATCATGGAGCAGCCCCAGGCCTGGGTGCGGAGGCCTTTCGGCCAGGGCCTGACTCATCCCCACAGAGGATGGGAAGGGCCCACGTGTGCCGAGCACCGTTGGCATCCGGATGCCTGGTGAGCTGCTTGCCTTGCTGCGCGATCTCATTCCGATCTCTGCCTTCACTACCAGAGGAGGAAGTCAAGGCTCGGGGGCTGTGTGTTTTCTCAGCATAACCCTGTGGCTTTGGCTACGGTGTTAGAACGTTCTATCAAGCCTCAGCTTCCCAGTGGTCACATGGGCACCCCATGCCCTCACTTCCTTCTCAGGATCTGTATAAAAGCCCCTGTCACTGTAGGTTCTCGGCCCCATGTCCAGGTGTTTTGGTTTTTGCTTGTTATTTTAAAGGTTGGTTTATTTATTTGGAAGGCAGAGTTGCGGGGGGGGGAGGTCTTCCATCTGCTTGTTCACTCCCCAAATGGCCACCGTGGCCAGGGCTGGGCCAGGCCAAAGCCAGGAGCTTCTTCTGGGTCTCCCATGTAGTTACAGGGGCCCACACACTCAGGCCATCTTCCACTGCTTTCCCAGGCACACAAGTAGGGAGCTGGATGGGAAGTGGAGCAGCTGGGAAACTCACCAGTGCCTGTGTGGGATGCCGGTGTCACAGGCAGTGGCTTTACTCGCCATGCCACAAAGCTGGCCCCGTTCGCCCAGGTGTTTCAGAATGGACAGTATCAAGAGAACCTCACGGAAAGACTGTGACACACATGTCCAGTGATGGTTCAGGCACAAGAACAGAGCTTAAGCCTGTGTAGGCAGCTTGACATGCAGAACCCCAAGCCCTGTCCCAGTACACAGAGTCAAACTGCATCTTCCACCCATCCCTAGCTGGTCCTCACTCGTAAAAGTGTGAGACGCACCGGTGCAGAATGGGAGTCAGCAATCCTTTTCCTTCAGATGGCCAGATGGCATGAGTTAGGGCTTTGCAGAACACGTGGTCTCTGTCGCAGTGGCTCAAGTTGGCCCCTGGAACTGGAAGACAAAGCCAGCCATGGCCAACACAAAGAGGAGTGAGCCAGGCCATGTCCCAGATAAAACTTTAATCACAAAAGCAGGTATCTGCTGGGTTTAGCTCCCAGGCTGTGTCATAGACCCCTGGCCTAGAGGCTTTCTCTGTGGTTCCGTGGTTTTCAGATTGGACAGCCAGCGTGGGCTGTGGCAGCTGCACCTGCTGAGGCTGGTGTCGGGCTGTGGCCCCTGCACTGACCTTGGCAGTGAGATCCTTGTCTGGTCTTGGCCGCTGTTGGAAATTTCATCTCCCTAGCGACAACGTCGGTTGTAGGGGTGGTGATGGTGTTGGGGGCCCAGCTCCTGCGCGGTTCCCAGCCCTTGCTTTCCTGCAGAGGCCAAGGGGAAGGGGAAGCGGAGCCCCCTGACGCAGGCCGAGGCGTTCTGCTCCGTGCCCTCGCGCTCCCTGCTCTCCCCGAGCTACTACCACAGCTTCGGCATCACCGAGAACTACCTCGTGTTCCTGGAGCAGCCTTTCAAGCTGGACATCCTCAAGATGGCAACGGCGTACATCCGGGGCGTGAGCTGGGCGTCCTGCATGGCTTTCCACCCCGAGGACAAGGTGCGGCTTGGGGGGGGGGGGGTAGGGAGGGGCAGCCATCAGCCTCCCCGAGGTGTCTGAAGCTGGGCGGTCCTTCACACTGGCCCCTGCCTGTGTAGCCCCTTGTCCACAAGTCGCTGGACACAGTCCCAGGAAGGGGTGTGACCTTGGGTAACCTCAGCAGCCAAGGCAGTCCTCACTGGCCCAGCAGCAAAGGGACCCTGTCCTCAGTCCCGAGGGCGGGCAGGGCTCCTCACACCCCTCCAGCCTCTCTGCTGCCACCAAAGACAGGGCGGGCAGGGGCAGGGGCAAGAGGAGGTGGGCCGGAGGCTCCGTCCGCATCATGATGCTAGAAACTTCCACCCAGAGGTCCAGCAGAAACATCTCCTGTAATTCAGCTACGCCTGGGTGCTCCCAGCACGTGTGTGCAGGTGTGTGTGTGCACACGTGCACTGTGTGTGTGCATGCACTCCCATATGGATGTGTGGGCGTGACTAGAGTTCCTGGCTGACTTCCTGTTGTTACCTTTGGAACAGTGTTTCGGATTCAGGTAACACACGTGTATATGAAGTCTCCTCCCTAACCCCGCCACTCTCCTCCCCTGCCCTGCCCACTCCGCACTCTGGAGGGAGCCACCATTCCCAGTGGGCATCCCTCCATGTTCTCTGTGCGTTCGCACAGACGGTCCTGCTGTGGTGTCTCTCCTCTGGGAGGAGAGCGAGGGGGCTGAAGGGGTGAAGGCATTGGCTCCCTCTCCCCTGCTGCTCATTTCCCAGGAGAGCCCTGACATCTCACATACCTGGTATTTATTGTTGGCCTCACCCCTGCTGGCGTATAAGGTCCATGAGAGCAGGGAGTGGCTTTCTTTTGTCTTTCCGGGTTCCCAGAGCAGTGCCTGATGCACAGCAGGGGTGGGCGGCTGACCTGGAGCTTGCCCTGCAGCAGAGCCTCCCCACGAGGGAAGCTGGGTGGGGGGAGGGAGCTCCAGGTAGGGGGAAGTGGAGGGGGTGTTGAGGCCTCCAGTGCAGACCTCTGGGGATTCCCTGGCGTTTAGAAAGTGAGAAGACTTGGAGCCCTGGGAAAGGCTCGTGGGTGCGTTTGGAAGAGGACTTCTGGACGACTCCATGTGGCTGGCTCAGGGGTTGGGTCCTGAGGGAAGGGGGGCCTCAGATGTTCACCCCATCTTTGCCTCCTGCATCGAGCCTCCCACCACACCGCTGAAGCCCCCTTCCTGGCTCCCCTCTTGATCTCCAAAGTCTGATGATGGGGAAGGGGGAGAAAGAGGCGAAGCCGGCCCAGGAGGCAGCGGGACGAGGGCACCGCGCAGCCTCAGCGGCCTGCACAGGTACTGTCCCCTGGTGGCTGCAGAGGCCTTGGCAGCAAGCGGCCCTCCTGCCCGTGCTAGAGAAGCGCTCACGGAAGTGCCCCGGGACAGCTCCGCTTACACACAGTAGGCCCAGGCTAGTACCCGCCAGACGGGGTGTTGGCCGGCCCGCGGGTGCACAGCGCTGGCCCTGACAGGGAGAGCCCAGTGCCAGCTGTGCGTCTGCTTTCAGACCTACATTCACGTCATCGACCAGAGGACCCGGAAGCCCATGCCCGTCAGGTTCTACACGGACCCCCTGGTGGTCTTCCATCACGTCAACGCCTACGAGGAGGACGGCTGCATCGTGTTTGACGTCATCGCCTACGACGACAGCAGCCTCTACCAGCTCTTCTACCTGGCCAACCTGAACCAGGCCTTCGAGCAGAATGCCAGGCTCACCTCGGCCCCCACCCTCCGCAGATTTGCCCTGCCCCTCCGCGGGGACCAGGTAACGCTTCTGGGAAGGAAGTCCCCCATCCGGAGACCCGAGCCCAGGCAGGGAGTTCTGCGGGCGCTCATTTGATTGGCATCACAATCCAGAGTGACTGTACTTACAGAAAAACCGAAAACATCTTCATGATTTTGTCAAAAGTGGTCAAAATGAGTGGCAGAATCTTTAGCAAGTCAAGGCAAAGGAAAAAGTAAAATTCCCCGAGCTGTGTCACTACCGCCACAATCAGTTTTGTTTAAAAAAAAAGTGGTTTATTTTTTCATCTTTATTTATTTTATTTGGAAGGCAGAGAGAGACAGATCTCACATCTGCTGGTTCATGCTCCAAGTGCCCACAAAAGCTGGGGCTGGGCCAGGCTGAAGCCAGGAGCTGGGACCTCCACATAGATCTGCCACTTGGGAGCAGCCCCCACTGCTGCCTCTCCAGGGTGCGTTGCCAGGAAGCTGGGAGCGGGGACTCGAACCCAGCATCTTCGCTGCTGTGCCACCTGCCCACCCCACAGTCACCTTTAGAATATTTCATCACCCAAAAAGGAATGCCACACCCTCAGCCATCACCTCCTCATGGCCCCCTGCCCCTCCCCCATCGCCTCCCGAGCAGCTCCTAATCTACCTTCTATCTCAGAGGATTCCAAAGGGTCTCAGAAAGTGTTTTCATAAGAAAAATGTGCAAGGATTTCAAAGCTTCTTGCACCAAAGTCCACAAAGCAGGGGCAGATGTTTGTCCCAGCAGAGCAGTAAAGGTGCCCACAGCCCACACTGGGGTACCCGAGTTCAATTCCCGCCTCCGGCTCCCGACTCCAGCTCCCTGCTAAGGCAGACCCTGGGAGGCAGCGGTGAGAGCTCAAGCGATTGGGCCTCGGCAGCCCATGTGGGAGACCTGGATTAGGCTCCTGGCTCCTGGCTTCAGCCCTGGCCTGGGGCTATTGTGGGCATTCAGAGAGTGAACCAGCAGATGAGGGCTGTGTCTCCCGCTCTCTCTGTCTGCCTCTCAGTAAACACTCTTCTAACCCATGCGTCATCTGCACGTCTCTCCCTGGTATTAAGCATCCTGCAACGGCGTCGGTTTAAGTACCCGCCTAATGGCAGGAGTCTGTCACCGTCTGCCCCCGTGGTCCCCCGATGCTGGGCAGATGTGTTCCTGCACGCGATGCTCCGTGCAGTCACTGTAGATCTGCTGCAGGTCTGGGCTCTGAGTGAGGCTCCAGATCCCACTGACTTCATGCCTTAATTAATTTAAATTAAATCAAATTTGATACAATTAAGTTTTGATAGCTCGCATTTACCAGCTACATGCGTGTGCCAGGTACTTTGCTAAGCATTTTATTTTCCTTACCTCATGTAATGAGCTAAACAACCTGTGGGAGAGGTCCCCAAATTAGCCTCATTTTAGAGATGAAAGAAATGGAGGCTCAGAGAGGTTAATGACCGTGCCCCAGGTCACACAGCCCAGAGTGGCAGAGCCAAGGTCGGAACGGTCTTTAAACCCACGTTTGTAACTGCTAAGGGGTAGTATGGCTGCTGCTCCCCCAGCGGGCCTCCTGGATGGAGCGCAGATGGGTCACAGGGACTCCAGCAGTGCCCTGGAGCGAGGGGGGCCAGTCCCACCCTTCCTGCCTGGATCTTTGGGGCAGGGTTCAGCCAGGTTCTCAGCAGTGAGCATTTGCACCCAGGTCTATCTGATGCCACAGCTGGATTCTCTCGTCTGTCTCTGGTATCCCTGCTGCAGTTGTCTGCGTGTCTCTGCCGCGGCTTTTACCGCGTCTCGCATCACCTCTGCTTCACGTGTCCAAAGCCATCTTTTGCTTTCCGTGAACCAGCTGCTTTCTTGACTCAGGCGAGGGGGAGCGTCTGGCTTCCCGGTGGAAGCAGCCTTGCCTGCTGCACAGAGAAGGCAAGGGTGAGAAGGCAGGGCTGGACAGCAGGGGTCCTCAGCCTGGGGCCAGGGCCGCGGCCTGCCAAGCCCCGACCAAAGTTTGTGAAAAAGCAATTTTTTAAAAAGGATTTATTTATTTGAAAGTCAGAGTTACACAGAGAGAGAAGGAGAAGCAAAGAGAGAGAGGTCTTCCATCTGCTGGTTCACTCCCCAGATGGCCACAATGGCTGAAGCTGTGCTGATCCAAAGCCAGGAGCCAGGAGCTTCTTCCTGGTCTCCCATGTGGGTGCAGGGGCCCAAGGACTTGAGCCATCCTCTACTGCTTTCCCAGGCCATAGGAGAGAGCTGGATCAGAAGTGGAGCAGCCAGGTCTTGAACTGGCGCCCTTAGGGGATGCCAGCACTGCAGGCGGCAGCTTAACCTGCTACGCCACAGCGCTGGCCCTGAAAAAGCAATTTTTGAAAGCATGAAGTGTTAGAGACTTCATGGCATCCAAGATGCTTTCCTTGACCATTTGAAAGGATTGAGAGAAAAATCAGGGTTACTTTCTCTCCACGTGACAACCCCCCCCCCCCCATAGAGCCACACCCAAGCCTCTGGCCCCTGAACCCTCGCCCAGGAAGCAGCTCGGTGGGGCGGGGGTGGGGGCAGGGAGGCAAATGTCAAGGCTGAGCTCAGCCCATGTGTGGTGTGCATGGTGGTGCACGCTCCCTCCCAGGGCCTACACACCGTGAGATTTTACCACCTTTACCCACGCGGAGGGTGGCTGGTTCCCATGGAGCCATGCGGGGAAGGTGAATGTGTGTGTTTGTAAAAGCCGTCGTGTGAGCTATCCAGTGCTTTGAAATAGCAAAGGTCAGCAGAGCCTGGGCTGGGCAGCTCTGATCACGCCGTTGCATGGCTGTTTATGGTCCCTTAAACATGTCCTCTTCACTTTCATGTTGCTACACCTGCCTCTGGAAGTCGCACAGTCGAGGAGGCAGACACCGCCTTCCGTGTGCAGAGCCGCAGCTCTGGCTCCCTCCTGTCCCCAGGCCACTGCGAGGCCAGCTCGAGCAGATGCTGCCCTTCGTCAGACGGCCTGCACGTCTCGGGTCTTTGCCCTCTGTCCCCTCTCCTGCTGTCCTGTCCCACCGCACCTGCGACTCCCTGGCTGGGTGGCCTGTGTCTCAGCACCTCAGTTCTTCCCTCCTTACTGCCCTGGGGTGAGGGCACACTCTGGAGCCATTTGCTCGCCTCTCTTTCAAGTGTCAGGTGCCTGCTCAGTCCCCTTGTCCCTTGATGCCGAGACTCTGTCATGTGACTTCATCCCTTGCACTTGGAGGGCACTCGTTAAGCTCTTAAATACTGGTAATGGATTAATTAAAGAGTTTAGCAGGGTCTCTAAATAGGGCACAAAGCAGGCCGGTGTTGTGGCACAGCCGGTAAAGCTGTACCTGTGATGCTGGCATCCCATATGGGTACCGGCTCCTGTCCTGGCTGCTCCACTTCCAATCCAGCTCCCTTCTAACAGCCTGGGAAGAGCAGCGGAAGATGGCCCAAGTGCTTAGACCCAGGCTACCCAGTGGGAGACCTGGATGAAGCTCCTGGCTTCGGCCTGACCCAGTGCTGGCCATTGCAGCCATATGGGGGAGTGAAGCAGCAGATGGAGGACCTCTCTCTGTCTCTTGCTCGCTCTCTGTAATTCTGACTTCCAAATAAATAAACAAGTCTAAAGAAAAAAAAAGTTAAGGGACACAAAGTCCTTCTGTGGCATCAGAACCTGTGCCTGGTGAGAGTGCTCTCCAGTAAATCCAGCAGTGAGCTGGATTTAAAGCCCCAGACTGCCCCAGAGTCCCTGGCCTTTGGGCCAACTGGGGTCAAAGGAAGGCGGGGCCATCAGGGCCTCTCGGCTGCTGGGCCTGTTTATGTGGGACTGCCGGTGTCTAGGGCAGGGCTTGGCAGGGGAGGGGGCGTGGCTGGGAGACATCTGACATGTACAGACAGCAGGGGACAGCTGCCCTACAGTCTTCCTGGCTGCCTTGAAGCAGGGATCAGAAGCACTCCCCAGCCATGCAGGAGGGGCTGTGAGAGGACGCAATTTGGACTTACGACTCCTGCATCATTAGATTAGAGTTTTGTCTCCCGATGCAGAGAGAAGCCATGGTTTATCACGATGTGCCGGGCCATGTGTTCAATGCCTCTTCTGCTCTTAGACCCTGGAAAGAGGGACCCTGGCCCTGGGCTCAGCACTAAGGAGGCCCTGCTCTGCCCTTCTGGTCTGCAGCACGTCCCCTCCTCCTCCTCAGGTAGAGAGTCCCTAGGACCTGTGGATCCTGCCCAGCCATTGCCCCCCTAAATGTACTCAGGACCCCAGTCCTGCTTTGATGTCTGCTTCTGCTCTCCCAGGGCCAGACTGAGCCACTGGAGTGCCCACCCTGGGCCCATGCAGTGGCCAGGGCTGGCTGAAGTCTTGGCTGTGCTGGCTGGATCACCCATAGAATTGGGGGCAGAGCCTGGGGTGAGAAAGAAGGAGAGCCAGGGGCCAGAGACCACCTTAGCCACACGATTCCAGCTCACCCCCAAGGTGTCCTAGGATTTCACGTTCACTCATCCTCCCAGACCACCTGCCATGTTGCTGGAACATTCTCTCTGTGCAGTACAGGCACCACTTAAAGATGTGTGATTTTATTAACTGATTTTATTTTTCTTATCCTTAGTTAAAGGTTAAATCTGAATGAGTACCTACGGCTGGTGGTTGCTGTATTGGGCACTGCAGTTCAACACAACATTGCAAGGGTCTGCGTGTCAAGTCAAGTGGGGAGATAGTGTTCTGTCTATTTGGTTGCTATGGTCGGATAGATATTTCGTTGGTGAGCCTTCAGTTGTACTCTCATCCTGGGTCCTGCACATTTCAGGGACTGGCAAAGGCTTTGTTAAACCACATCCCAACACTCTGAATTATTTATCAGCCCATATCCACAAATGGCAGAGCGAAGAAACTGCTCGACCTAGAAGAGTTGCCTGCGAGGTTTGCGTTAGGATTTGATTGCGAGTTGTTCTGGCTCCCAGGTACTATGATGGGTCTAGCTAGCGCTGGCTTGGGTGTTTTCACAGCCATTATTTAACTTAATCCCAAGCATAATCCTTAGATACAGGGCCTTGGGGTGACACACTCAGTCCCAGGCCACCCTCCCACCCCCCAGCAACTCATAGATGAGGAAGCAGACCCAGCAAGGTTGGGGGGGGGTCAGATTTCACACCCAAGCTAGCTTCTGGGGGATCGCTGTGAGTGTTGCTTCTCCTGGGAGTTCTCGCAACAAAGCCGTGCCTGAGCAGCCTGCAAGGTCTTGTTGAATCCTGGCTGGAAAGCGATTTCTTCCCAAAGGCCTCGGAAAGCAGCCGAGTCATGTTGGTGGCTGCTGGGTGTGGAAACATTCAGGGTGTCTCCCTCAACCAGTCGGACAGGTTTCAGGCCGGAGTTATAAGACATCTGCATCAGGGCTGGGATGGGCCTCCCGCTGGCTGCGGTGCCATGCAGGTGCAAGGGCTGGAGCTTCTTCCTAGGACACCGCCGATGTCCTGGGCACTGGGTTGCTCTGTTCATGTACCTCATCTCCAATGCTTCCAACAGCCAGCCTGCGAAACACGCGTTTTGCCCCTCGACAGTTGACGGAAAAGCTCATGGGGTCATGCTTCCCCTCATTCTGTTAGCAGTTACTTCCTGGGAGCCAGTTGCTATGTGCCGTGCAAAATCTGGTCCCTGCCTTCATGGGGAAGACAGGCATAAAAGAAAGCAGCAGCTTCATAAAGGGGATGGTTACGGCCTGGGACGAGCCCCTGGGAGACCTTGCAGATTTGGATTGAGTTATTAGGGATGTGTGAGCTGGGATTTGCTGGATCGCGTGGAGCTGGCCTCAGGGCCTCTGCACCTGCTTTGACCTCTGTCCTTGGCACTCTTGCTTCTGGGCAGGGGAATTGCACTGTGAGGGCCTGGCCCCAGGCTCTGCTCTGTGTGACTCTGGGCAAGTCTCTTTCTCTAGCCTCAGTCTCCTCTTCAGTAAATTGAGGGCTTGAACTACAGCAAATCTCAATGGCGATCAACTTGACCCGTTCCCAGCAAAGAACCAGGATGATTAAAATAGCTTGGTTTTGATTCTGAAAGCCATTTTTGGAAAATGTGAATGCAAAATCCCCCCTAACTGTGATTTTTTTCACCTTGGTCCTCAATGTCTCCCAGGGCTTCAGCCACCCTCTTAGCCGTGGCAGCCATGTAATAATAATTAGGATCATGGTGGTGGTGGCTAATAACACAGTGGTTCCCCGACCTGTGGATTCAGTTACCCACAAACAAGCATGCTCCAAAATTATTCAGTGGAAAATCCCCCAAATAAACAATCCATGACTTTTACGCCATGTGCTGAGCAGGACGAAGGCTTGCCTCACCTCTCTCTCTGTTGCCCAGGGCAAGATTCACCTCTTGTTCAGCGGATCCCCACTGCATAGGCCACCCACTGCTACCCTCACCTCGGAGCATGGTTATCAGATCAGCTATGGGGGCGTCACAGTGCTCATATGAGGGGTTCGGTGCTCTCTGTGGTTTCAAGCATTCCTGTGTGTCTTGGTGTGCACCCCACCATGGATGGGGGTTGGTGAAGATGACATCATCAACCACAGCCACTCACAGTTTTCTAGCACTTTCTGTGAACCAGGCACTCTCATAACCCGTTTGTGTGGATGATCTGATCTCTTCTAATCAGCCCAGATGCTGGGAGATGCATACCCTATTATTATCCACATTATGCAAATAAGGAAGCAGAACTACATCGAGGCCCAAGGTTAGAGTTGGCCGGGGGTGGGGGGTGTTTGGAGAGGGAGCAGGAGACGCCCAGTAAACACTTCATTGTAGATCCCTCTCCTGGGTTAGGATGACAGTCAGGTAGCGAACAGCCAAGTCTGCTTGTGAATTGATCCCAGAGAATGGGCTTGAAAGTTGTCTCTCTCCCACATAATTTTTATTGCGCGTTTGTTTTCATTTCAACAGTGGTAACTTTTCATAGGAGAAAATGCTGAAAATGTGGAGAAACACAGAAGAAATTAAAGTCCCCATAACTCCGCCATCTGCAGTATCTCACATAGCATATGCTTCTCATGAGCCTTTTGAAGTTCTTTCCTGTGCACGGACTTCAAAGAATTTTGCAACAAAATAAAGCTATCTTTTAATTCCATGAACTTCTGAAGCACCCTCATAGGTCTTCTCGATGTAATTTTTCATGTGGTTGAGCCCAGCCTGCCTGTGTGATTTGTCCTGATGTTTTTTTCACCCAGTGTTATATCATAAGCATTTCTGATGCTATTCAAAGCTTTATAAACATTTTAATGACTGAAGCCACCTTTCACAGGTGACTCATCCAGTGTTTAAGAAGCAACTCTTAGAAGCACAGGCATTTTCCCCGGGAGGGCGAAGTTTGCACAGAGTGACAGTGGCTCTAAGAGCCTTGCTTCGACCACCCGCCAGCTATGTGACCTTGGGGCAGTGGCTTCAAATTGTCTATCCACATTAAAAAAAAAAAAAAATCGAGACTCCCAGCAGTAAGATAGCCACTTGCTCTGGTTCATGGGAGGCCTAGCAAGATGACGTGCACTGATGTGTTTTGGAAATGTACATGGAAAAACAAAGGTTTGCTTTGGATAACAAGTGTTCCTTTATTTGTTTATTTATTTGTTTATTTTTGTGCTGATTTCCTTTTAGAATGCGGAAGTGGGCTCAAATTTGATCAAGCTGACGTCCACTACGGCGAGAGCCCTGAAGGAGAAAGATGACCAAGTGTACTGCCAGCCGGAATTCCTGTATGAAGGTGAAGTGCACCCTCTGTCTGTGTGTAGGGAGGGGCTCGTTGTCATGGCAACCCCAAGTTTCTGATGTAGCGAGATGAAGATCAGAGGCTCTTGTGGGGGCCCCCATGACAGCATCTAGGGACATTTCTCCTTCCTGTATCTATTTTAATTTAATTTATTTTATTTGAGAGATAGAGTTACAGACAGTGAGAGGGAGAGACAGAGAAGGGTCTTCCATCCACTGGTTCATTCCCTAAATGGCCACAACTGCCAGAGCTGAGCTGATCCAAATCCAGGAGCCAGGAGCTTCTTCTGGGTCTCCCAAGCGAGTGCAGGGACCCAAGCTTTTGGGCCATCTTCCATTGCTTTCCCAGGCCATAGCAGAGAGCTAGATTGGAAGAGGAGCAGCCAGGACTCGAACCACAGGCAGAAGATTAACCTACTGCACCACAGCGCCGGCCCCTCTTCCCTGTATCTTAAACAACGTTCACGGTTGCCTTCCACAAATGCTGTGGCTTCCTGAACACTGGCTTCCTGAACAGGAACGAAACGCTGGTACTTGCAGCTCTGCACTGACTCAGTACCTGCGGAGTAGGTGTTGTGAGCTCCATGTTATGCCTACTCAGACAGGGACAGGAGAGATGCAGAGCTGCACAGAGAATGGGACCCCAGAACGGCAGCCCGTCCACGGGAGCAGGCATCATGGACGTTTGTAGCCAAGTCCCTCTTTATGCTGGGGCCGTCCTGTGCCCTGTAGGGTGTTGAGCAGCATCCCTGGCCCCCTCCACCCTGTGGCTGCCAGTGGCAACCCCTGCCCTGAATTAGAAAATCCAAAACCATCTCCAGATGTTGCTCATGTCCCCGTGTCGGTGCCACTGCCGTGCAACTATGTCCACAGGGCAGGGACCTTGTGCTGCTTTGCCGTTTCTGGTGTCCCGGCGGCACCTGAGACAAGGTCTGGCGCCGAGGGGGCTGCACAGAGTGGGGTGAGGGTTTGGCCTTGCAGGTACCACACTAGTTGGGATGCCCACATCACTTATTGAAGTGCTTAGATCGAAGTGCTCTGTTTCTGACCTGGGAGGCAGCAGGTGATGGCTCAAGTAATTGGGTCCCTGTCACCCACATGGGAGATCTGGATTGAGTTCCTGGCTTTGATCTGGCCCTTTCCTGGCTGTTGTGGGCATCTGGGGAGAGAACTGGCAAATGCAAGCTCATTCATTCATTCATTTTTTTCTCTCTCTCTCTCAGTAAGTAAAATGTAAAAATGCAGAATGGGCAGGCTGGCCCAGGGACACTGCTAGAGATTTAAACTCACAGCCTGGCTCAGCCAGCTGCCCAGCGTTGGGCTCAGGCATCTGGGACTCATCCAGGCTGACCTCAGATTTGTCCTGAGAATCCACTTGTATAACAGCATCCCTTGCATCCAGTACCCAGCTGTGTGGCACCTCTGCCTTGGTGTGTGTGAAAGTGAGCACGCAAGTGGAGATCTGCCACCATGGCCCTCCAGAACAGCTCTCCCATCTTTCCTTCCTATGTGGCGCATGCGGGGCGTGCCGGGCCCTCAGTAGCACCTCTCAGATGTCCTCTCATCTCACCCCAAGAGTCTGCTGTTATTGTCGACATGCAAGAGGTTCACACACATCTGGGCCTGGCCGGTGGAGGGGGGGGTGTCTAGCAAGGGGTAGCCACTGTAGGGGCAGGTGCTGGGACTTTGCTGTTCTTGTGGTCAGGCTGAGAGCCACCAGGCAGGCCGCAGAGCCAGGGTCAGAACCCAGCTCCTCTGACTCCATAGCCCTTAACCCCTGCTCTTACACTTGGACAAAAGGCACGCCAAACCATCTGGAGTGTTCCAGACCTGCTTGGTTCACTGAGTGAATGCCACTTGAGTATTTCCCATAGCCTGAAGATTGTTCAAGAGCGTGGCTTTTAACGACTGTACGGAATCCTCAGAAGCAAATCAGACCCCACTTAACCACACACTTAACTTGTGGGTGGTCACTTACAGGAGCAGGGGGACACAGGTCAGGTTTGAGAGGGGGCCCCCAGGAGCGTCGCAGGCCTGTTTGGGGCCAGCTGTGGGCACCTTCTTCTCAACAAAGGTGAGTGGCCTCCCTCCTCATGCTCATTTTGACCTGTCCTTTGGAAGGTTCTTGATCAGTCACACCTGGGATTGGGCAGGTCCCTCCCATCCCCCTTTCACTCACTGTGGAACCCAGTGGCCACTCAAGCCCTGGAGTCCTTTCCACGGGGCCCTCTTGTGGTCAGCCTTTCTCCCTCTGCTTCCTTTGTTTTCTTGAGTATTCTATCTTCACCAGCAGTTGGCTCCACTACATAGACTATTTCATAAGCACGGAGGGTGGACATTCAGGTCAGTATACGGACTTAGAAATTCCACTTGCCACACAGCCACGTGGAAACCCACGTATGTTTACACTGGAGGGGACAATGTAGCTCTTTTGGCTGTGAAAGTAGTAAGAGGATGAAAATGGCGCATAATGAGAAGCTTAGGATGCACAGTGGGAAAGGCAAACCACTGGCCGTCACCCCAGCACTGCCTTAACACCTCTGCTCTTCATTTGTGACGTAGTGGAGCTCACCCCAACACCAGCCTTTCCCACTTAACCTTCAACTTGGACTTTTTTTTAAAGATTTATTTATTCATATGAAAGAGTCAGAGAGGTAGAGAGGTGGGGTGGGGAGAGGGATTGAGATTGAGACTGAGATTTCATCCTCTGGTTCACTCCCCAAATGACCACAATAGTGGGGCTGGTTTGGGCCAAAGCCAGGAGCCAGGAGCTTCTTCCAGGTCTTCCACGTGGGTGGCAGGGCCGCAAGTACTTGGGCCATCTTCCACTGCTTTCCCAGGGGCATTAGCAGGGAGGTGGATCAGAAGTGGAGCAGCCAGAACTCGAACTAGTGCCCATATGGGATGCTGGCGTTGCAAGTGGCAGAGATATGGATTCTTGCCAACTTTATTAAGATCCTTCATGGACATTATTTTTACGTATTATTTAAGAATTCACTAGTTGTATTTATTCCCCCTTATGGTCTTTCTCATGGCTTCTGTCGCTCCCCCATTCGCGTAGGAATGACAGCTTCCAAAGTTTCGCTTCACACCCACACACATGGGTGCACATACAGACACCTCAGTACTTTTTTAAAAAGGGATTTAAGAAAAATTGCAGTAGCCTCTGATTTTAATCGCGTAATTCTCTGTGATTCCTATCTTGGATAATTAGGGATGTTGTACGCTTGGCAATCTGGGTCTCTGGTCCCTGGCTCCTGAACCTGCTGAAATGGCTGGGTAGTCATTAGAGGTTCCCTCCCCTGCCTTGACCACCCTTGAGGCAGTCCAGGGTCAGAATCAAGTTCAGGGATCCTGGCTTAGGAATTGTCTCTGTGGAAAAGCTGCCTAGTGGAGGCTTCATCTGCTGTATCATTTCTCCCCAGGCTTGGAGCTACCGCGAATCAATTACTCATACAACGGGAAGCCCTACCGATATGTGTTTGCTGCCGAAGTTCAGTGGAGTCCCATCCCAACCAAGGTACTGGGCCTGGAGGTTTTGAGACTGAGTGACCGTGATGGGAAAATAGGAGGTCAGGAGGGAGATGCCAATTTGGGACAAGACAAATTGGAAGTCGTCATGGACTGTCCAAGGAAGGGAGCCGTGCCTAAGGCGGTACAGCTCGGGCAAGAGGCCAGGGCTGGAATTTACCCACTGATGTCTTTGTTGAGCACCAGCTGTGTGCCACAATGTGGTAGGACCCAAGTACAGGGACCTCCCAAAGCCTGCACCCTCTCGAGCACGGAGGGCACAACTTACTATGTCCTGGCACTGAGTGATGGCACACATTGCTTTTTTAAAAATGATTTTTAATTCATCTTATTTATTTGAAATGCAGAGTTACAGAGAGACAGAGAGATAGTCCATCTGCTGGCCCACTCCCCAAATGGCCACAATGGGCCAGGCTGAAGCCAGGAGCCAGGAGCTTCTTCCAGGTCTCCCACGTGGCGCAGGGGCCCTAGAACTCAGGCCGTTTTCCACTGCTTTCTCAGGTGCATATGCAGGGAGCTGGATCAGAAGCACAGCAGCCAGCACCCAAACTGGTGCCCACATGGGATGCTGGCATTGCCCACCACACCACAATGCTGGCCTCATCACTTTCCTTAAGAGCTTTATTTTTAAATACAATGGGAAAATTTATGTTCATTTATTTATTTGTGAGGGGGAGGTGGGGAGGGAGAGACAGAGAGAATTGCTGGTTCACTCCCCAGGTTCCTGCAAGGTCTGGGGCTGGGCCAGGCCAAAGCTGAGAGCAGGAAACCGATCATCTCCCATGTGGGTGGAGGGAACCCAATTTCTTGAGGCAACACCTCTGCCTCCCAGGGTCTGCATTAACAGGAATTTGGAGTCAGGAGCTGGAGTCAAGTATCGAGCCATGTACTCCCATGTGGGACAGATTTCTTAAAACTAGGCCAAACGCCTGACCTGAAAATCTTTTTTTTTTTTTAATGCAAACAGTGCAGAAATATACAAAGCCAGAAAATTAGAGTTCTCCCCGCCCCCCCACACACACCCCAAGCCACTCCTCTCTAATCCCATGCCCTAAAGGGAAATAGACCTGTGAGTATTAAGACAGGTTTGGGGACTTGTGCTTAGTAAAGCAATATAGCAACTGTAGTGTATATTAACTGTTTGCTTGAATACATTAGTTGACTTAACACATACACATACACAATTCCAAGAAAGTGCCAATTAATTTGGGATTTTTACATTTTGAAGATTTCACCCTGCAGTACCAGCTATGTGGTGGTCCACGTCTAAAGCCAGAGGAGGAAAGTTGGCTTCTTCCATTTCTGCTGTGCTGACAAAATAGGGGGTGTCATCTACAGTGATGGCAGAAGTCTGTGTTGGGGGGAGGGTGTTGGGGCACAGCAGATTAAGCCCCTGCTGGGGATACCGCAGTCCATATTGGAATGCCTGGGTTTGAGCTCCACCTCCACTTCCAGTCCAGGTTCCTGCTGGTGTGCACCCTGGGAGGCTGCAGGTGACGGCCCAGGTGCTTGGTCCCTGCCACTCGCATGGGCAACCCAGTTGGAGTTCCTGGCTGTTGCAGGCATTTGGGAAGTATACCAGTTGATGGAAGATCAATTCTTCTCTCTCTCTCTCTCTCTCTCTCCCTCCCTCCCTCCCTCCCTCGCTGTAGCTCTGCTTTTCAAATAAATAAATAAATAAACATATTTAAAAGTCTACATTTGGAGGACTAAATCTCCCTTCCCTTCGTGGTAATTCACATGGGAAAAAGCCTGCTCTCAAACGAATCATGCCCATGTCTCTCCCTTCTACATGCAGATTCTAAAGTATGACATTCTCACAAAATCATCCTTAAAATGGGAAGAGGAGGGCTGCTGGCCGGCAGAACCCCTGTTCGTGCCTGCTCCGGGTGCACAGGACGAGGACGACGGTAAGAATGAGCAGGTGCCACTCGGTGCACGCGACACCTGCTCTGTGGGCACCCTTCAGACACAGACGTCACTCAGCAGCCGAGTCCTGGCTCACACAGCTGGGGGAACCATCTGTGGCATCCAGGTCTGAGTCTAAGCTGCAGGCTTAGGTGTCCCCAAGACCACCCTCCCTTCTGACACCAACTCCAAGTTCAAGGGTCCCCAGACCACCTTCAGGTTGGACAATTCGTGAATAGGGCTCACTGATCTCGCTGAAAGCCATGATTCCTATGGTTGTGGGTCAGTGCAGCCAAGGGAAGTGGCGAATGGGAGGGGGTCCAGGAGAGAGCAGGTGTGAACTTCCAGCTGTCTTCTCCCTGAGAGCCATGGACGGTGTGAGCTTCTCCTGATGACGAAGTGGGACAGGGAGGGTGCTCTGATCACGTGAGCCAGGGAAGCTCCCTCGAGCCTCAGACTCCAGAGCATCTACTGAGGCTCAGCCACACAGACATGGCTGACCACCTGCACCACGCGGCCCAAGGACCCGCTGCCAGTCACACTGCGGTCAGTGCCCAGGTGAACAAAGACACTCGTGACAAGCAAGGCATTGCAGGGGCTTAGGGGAGGCCACCCAGGAGCCAAGGGCCAAGGCAGGACCTCTCCATGGGCAAAGCCCATTGTCCTTTCCAATGGGTGAATCTCCCAGTGTAGAATCTGGCTTTTAAAATCTCTGGCAGTGGCTAGAATCCAAGTTTCCAGCTGGAAGTGTGTGAGAAAGACCTATCTGGGACCCACCACCCTTTGCTAGGTATCTGTGAAACCGAGTGGTCTTCTCCCTCCTTGATTCTGCCTTGTCTTAGAAACACCCACCCATGCTGTGGGCATGCCAAGGAAGGTGACAAGAACCATGGGTGGGGCCGCCCACACCTGCAGGGGAGGGCGGGCTGCCCCACTGAGCCTGCCAGCTTCTTCCCTCAGGTGAGAAGGGAGTGGTTTTCCACCTGGCCCTTGTCTTCTTACTGATCATGGTGTGGCACAGCAGGCCAGGGACCTGGTGTCACTGGCATCTCCCAGGAGGGAGGTATTGGCATCACCTTCTGGCTGGGCAAGTGGTTCCTGTGCCTTCCCTCAGTGGGCAGGGAGTATCGTTGTCTTCATTTTACCAAGGAGAGGCCCAGAGAGGGAGATAACTTGCCAAAGGTCACACACCCAGTACGTGCAGGGGTAGGGTTTGCATCCAGGTCAGTCTGACTTCAGCTGCTGAACCTCTGTGCAGCCGGGAACCTCAGAGGAGTTGCGAGTGTGTTGTCTGACACTTCCTCCAGCCTGGAGGTGTGCGCATTGTTCCGTCTAACCCACTGTCCCTTGAGAGTGAGTGCTGGAGAGGTCCTTGGTGTCGCTGCATGCAGAAGGGGTGAATCGGACTCATTTAGTGCAGTGAGTCTGAGAGACGTGTGCTGGCCTCAGTGCAGCTCTGAAGCTAATTCTCTGTAGGTTTTTATATAGTGGGACGATAGCCCTTTTGCACTGCATGCAAGAATAACCCACCGTGTAACCCTGTAAGAATGGGTAGGATCATCCCACTATGCAGATGAGCAGACTGAGGATCAGAGAGGTAAAGCACTGGCCCAGCCAGGCCAAGACCAGGCCTTGTGATTTCTAGCTCCCAGCCTTCCCCTTCTGCTCACACTGGCTATGGAATTCGCTTCCCTGTGCTAGATTAGACGCCTAAGTGCAAAGAAGACTCAGAAACACAGCTGAGAAATGTATCCCTGTGGCTGGAGGAGGTTCCAGGCTGCACTTTACAGAGCGTCTCTTTTTGTGTCCCCAAAGGAGTTATCTTATCAGCCATTGTCTCTACTGATGCCCAAAAGCCGCCTTTTCTACTTATTTTGGATGCCAAAAGCTTTACAGAATTGGCTCGCGCCTCCGTCGACGTGGAGATGCATCTGGACCTCCATGGGGTGTTCATCCCAGACAAAGACTGGGTCGCGCAGAAGCAGGTCCCCTCCCAGGGACCGCAGGAAGGGGCCCCACGGGCCTGATGGTGTTGGGGCGCGGGCCCTGGGGGGTAGCTCAGCTGTTGGACCTGCGGTACTCGGAGGTGACGCCTCTCTGGGTGGTTTGGCTTTTCACTTCAGCTTTCTCTGGATGTTTTGGTGAGGGCCTGGAGACAGAGCATGTCAGAACCTTTTCTGTTATTTCATTTTAGCCATGAAAACCCTATTTGAAAGTCATATGTTTACTGACTAGCTCCAGCACCTCTAAGAAAGCCATTCCCTTCATGATAAAGACCTTGACTGGGAATCAGACATTGTACTAAATCACATTATCGTTGTGATGAGAACAAGCCACTGCTCACATATTAGGGGAGAGCAGCATTAATATTTATCATGCTCCCGCCTCCATCTCTCTCTCTTCCCCACCCTCCCTCCCTCCCTCTAATGGACTGATTTGTGGGTCTGAGAGTCACAGCTGCCTAACCCGAGCCCTGTTAATAAGTCGGAGGACCAGAAAGGCATGTTGCTTTGTGGCCATTCCATGCAAGGCTTGGTGCAATAGAAAAGAATAAAAACTTTAAAGTCTGTTCAGTGCTTACTTTGTTTTTATGTGGCTTCTTTCTCTGAAGCTTTTCTGAGGCAATAAAAGGGAGTTGCTGGGTGGCTCACAGCCAGCAAGATGCCTGGTTGCAGTCAGTGGGAGATTGGCGTTGTAGGAGGGCATTGCACTGCTGGACACTGACCTTGCTACCCACGGCCGGGGATGAGAGTCTAGGGTGGAGTCGGGAGCCAGGGCTGGCACCAGGAGCCCTGTCTGCTGCTGCAGAGAGGCAGAGCACGAGCTGTGCCCAGGCCCATGTCTATGGGGTAAGCAGAGTCTTCAGGCTCCACTCAGGTGCTGCTGGAATAGACCAGGTGTTCTGGGCAGAGGTGAGGAGTTGATGGTCTCTGAGTCAGGAGGTGATGGGGATGGAGGGAGTTGGGAATGAGCCACGCAGGGCGCCACGTGGTTAGTAGGAGCCCCTTGGGCATCTGAGCCTCATCTTTATAGTCTAGTGGGTGTTTGGAGGGTGGTTAAAATAATCAAAGGTAGGTTGGATAATTCCCAGGTACCCACGTCACGGGGTCAGGGGAGTTGGGATTCCCACTGTTGTTCGGCATTTGTGCCTTCTCCTGAGTCACCCCTGGGGTTTGACATGTGTCTAAGGGGTGGGAAGGAGCTGCTGGTAGCAATGCGTTGAATACCCTGGAGGGAGCAGGCCGAAGCCAGGGCGATCTTGGCTTTGGCCCCACAATCACCATGAAGTTTGCTTCTACTAAAATGTAGACTCCATTAGGCCAGGGGATACTTGTGTTTTACTGAGGTAGCTGCACATGCATTGGCAGTTCTGTGACATCCCACATAAAGGTCCTATGTGAACCCTACCCAGTTTTTCCTCCAAACGGCAACATTAAGCTGAACTACACAGCACAACACCACAACCAGGACATGACGTGGGTCCCATCTTCCCATCGGACTCAGATTGGCCAGTTTCACTTGTACTCATTTCTCTGTGTGTGTGTGTGTATGTGTGTGTAGAGAGAGAGAGAGAGAGAGAGAGAGAGTAAGTCTTCCATCTGCTGGTTCACCCCCCAAATGGCCGCAATGACTGGAGCTGCACAGATCCAAGGCCAGGAGCCAGGAGCTTCTTCTGGGTCTCCCACATGGGTGCAGGGACCCACAGCAGAGAGCTGGATCAGAAATGGAGCAGCCGAGACTCCAACCGGCATCCATAAGGGATGCTGGCACTGCAGGTGGTGGCTTTACCCGCTGTGCCATGGTGCTGGCCCCCACACCTGCCTCCTTCTAACCCCAGGCCCTACCCCTAGCTTTTGAAAACCACTGACTGTTATGTTTGTCATTTCCGAACACTGCAGTCACATTGGCCTTAGGACTGGCTTTTTCCACAGTCGATTTTATTGGACATTCACCCAGGTGTTGTGTACTCATCCAAGTTGTTGTGGGTTAGGCACAATTGACTCACAACTTCACCCTCAGCACCTGTAACACTGCCTGGGTAATACAGGAACTCAGTGAAGGTTGGCTCAGTAAAGGGATGAGTTGCCCCAGCAGACACATCAACAGCCCTCCTGGAGGAGTAGGGACGACAGTTCACGTGGACCCCAAGGGCAACATACAACATTCCCTGCTAAGGTTGCTCTCTCCTACAACCCCAACCCTCTTCTCTCCCCTCACCTGCTGGCCCCTCGAAACCACCAGCATTTCCACTTCACCCTCAGCTCACACCCCATTAAACAAAAACACACACCACGGGAAGGGCAGAACGAAGACCAGGTACTCTTCCTCAGAGCTTTCTCTGGGACTCTGTTCCCCGGCCTTGACAGTGTGGACTAGGGGGAAATGTAGGCCATAGTGCTCCAGGAAAAGCATGATCCAGGCTCATGTCTGGGTGGCCGGAATGGGAAAGAGTTGACAAGTGTGGCAGCCACTCACCTACTTGCTCTTCTACTTCAAATACTTGAGAAGTGGGTGGAACTAAAAAATACCTCCCCACCTCCCTTCTACTCAGTTCCAGTTGACAAACAATACCAGCCCTAATCACAAAAAGGGTGCAGTTCTGCAGGTCCGAGAACTATGTCCACAATTTGTTGACCTTGTTTAAGGTGACAGGTGCAATGACTGATGAGGGAGGCTGGCACACCGGGTCTTTTCCAGTTTCAAACACACCAGAGGTTGATGCCAGGAGAGTTGATTTATCTGGCTGCTTTATTCCATCACATTGTCTACATCCCCGGACCAGAGAAATTAGCTCACAGCTCTCCAAGAGTTGTGACAAATGCTCCTTTCTTGAGGGAACCGCAAGGTGGGCCATCTGATTTCCTGAGCTGTCCTTGGTACGCTTCACCTGAGTGTAAAAGATGACCGGGAAGCTGTGCAGGAAAAGTCACCCTGGATTCGTTGTTGCTTTGATGGCGTCATAGCACTTCCCAAGCACGCCGGGACGCAGGGGTCAGTTACGTGGCAGGTGTTCACGTGTTTGCTGACTCACTAACCTTTTCCACCAAAGGTTTCTATGATTTGATTCCAGTTAGCTGGATGTATAGATGAGCAAATTAACCCAAATTCACTTAGCATCCATACTGTAGCCTGGATCGGTACTGCATTGCTTGCTGTAGCTGATATTCACTGTGTGAAAACTCCAAGTGCATTTGAGCTACAGCTGCAATATGTCTCCATCTTCGTGCCCTCCCCCATCAGAGTTCCTGAAGTCAGTCTAACAGCTTTGAGGTGGTTGCTGGTCCAGGTTGAGCACAAACACCTTTGATGACTTCTTACATTGTTTCAAGGTCATCTGTGTGGTTTTTAAATGACCAGTAGAGGCTTTCCTCCCAGCCAAGCAGGACACGCAGACCAAAAAGGCATCACCAGTGTTCATCACCCAACAGTGGTGAGCCAGGGGCCTCACAGCCTCACCTTCCTTCTGGGCATTTAGACTCGGAGAGCAGGGCCACCCACACCAGCTCCCGAGCCACCATCACAAGACACCTGCTGAGGTCCAGCCCCAGCAAGGAGGAGGATGTTTTCTTGGGGACAAGCAGCAGAGATGCAGGGACACGGTGTTCAGGGCGGGTGGGGATGAGCCAGGCTTCCTTCTTCCTGGTAATCAGGAAAGGCTTCCCAGAGGGATGGGACTTGAGGACCTGCCTGAGTGGCTGGAGGGAGTGCCAGGCCAGGCTGAGTGTGCAGCCGGGACAGGCTTCAGCGGCAGGTGTGAGCTGACAGAACAAAGCAGGTGTCCAGGGGATTTCCCAACTCCAGAGCAGTAGCCAGAGCGGAGACTTAGGGATCTTTTTTTTCTTGGGTTGTAAATACCGTGTATGTTCACTGTAGAGCACTTGGATACGTTAAAGACAGGAGAGAAACTCCCATAGTCACTACCCCAAGAAAGCCTCTGAAGTCACTCTGCAGTGTTTTTATCCATTTTTTCCCCAGTACCTATTAGTGATCGCTTTATAACCTGCTTTTTGCACTTGCCATTTGATGTGTTTTCCCAAGTTATTAATGTTTTTAATGAGAGACTCATTGCCTGTGTGGAGCATGGCAGCACGTACAGTACCTTGGCCTTGCTTCCACTGTTCACAGGTAACATCCTGAGTCGCAGCCGTCTGGGTAAAGAAAATCCCAGAGTTCCCCCCTGCCCTGGGTTCAGGTGCTGCTGGTGGTAGCGGTTTTCTTTGGATGCCCAACCTGGGATTTCCGACTAAGGAGGGTAAACCAGGGTCTGGGGGTTGCTTTTGAAAAGCCGAAGGTGCAGATGTCCTAAATAGCACTCTGGCCTCAGAATCAGCCCTAAAGGCATTCGGATCTGGCTGAAAAGCCCATGAGAGTATTTCAGGCATGGAAAGCCAAGACACTCTGGCAAAAGATCTCTGTGAGTGAGATCCCAGTGGAAAGAACAGGTCTTCAAAGAAGGAGGTACCTTTCTCTGAAGGGAGGAGAGAACCTCCACTTTGACTATGACCTTGTCTAAACAAGATAAGAGTCGGAGAACTCAGAGGGCTTCTATAGCCTTGGAAACTCATGACTGGAGCATAGGGAGATTACTGATGCCATAGACAGGAGTGTCAATTGGTAAAGTCAACAACAGGAGTCACTGTGCACTTACTCCTCATGTAGGATCTCTGTCCTTAATGTGCTGTGCATTGAGATTTAATGCTATAACGAGTACTCAAACAATATATTTCACTTTGTGTTTCTATGGGGGTACAAACTGTTGAAATCTTTACTTAATGCATACTAAACTGATCTTCTGTAAAAAAAAAAAAAAAAGAAATTATCAATTCCCAACTTGACTCTCACTGGGATTAAACATGACAATAGGTCTGATCTGATTTCATCATCATTTAAAAAAATCATCTATTATTTTTCACTTTATGTTTCTGTGTGGGAGCAAACTGTTGAAATCCTTACTTAATGTATACTAAGCTGATCTTCTGTATATTAAGATAATCGAAAATGAATCTTGATGTGAATGGAAGGGGAGAGGGAGTGGGAAAGGGGAGGGTTGTGGGTGGGAGGGACGGTATGGGGGGGAAGCCATTGTAATCCATAAGTCGTACTTTGGAAATTTATATTCATTAAATAAAAGTTAAAAAAAATCAAAAAAAAAAGAAAGAAGGGAGGAAAAGCTTAAACTACTAGATTGTAAAGTAGGAACAAATGGACAGAAAAGCTGGAGGTGAAGGGGTGAAGATTAGGTAAAGGAAAAATCTAATTTCTTAAATCCTTAAAAACAGAAAGGAAGAAAGGAGGGGAAATAGAGAAGTATGGTTATGTTCTTATGGAATTACATTCTTTTGCAATCTGTTCTCTTTGTATCAATAAAAATAAAAATGCTTAAAAAAAAAAAAAAGAAAAGCCGAAGGTTCGGGTTTGATGCATAGAACTGCAACTGAGATGTTCTTGGATGTCGGAGGTTGGAACAATCAAGAAGGCCAAGAAAACACATTTCTCAGGAGACAGGACAAAACAGTACACGGTAATGCAGCTCTCGTCAAGGCCTTCCTCCTCCCTTTGCCCCACTTCTTCCTCCTTCCCGGGGCCTTCCTTCTCCCCACATCCTTACAGATAACTGGTCTTTTTCAGGCATATATACACACATTTATTCCTGCATTTAGTCAGTGGTAACCAAGACCGTGTGGAAAGCAGAGCTGAAGAAACCAAGGCTCTCGGCTGTCCGCAGGGAGCACGCGGCACAGTGAACAAACCGCCACCACGGAGTGGGATGGGGGTGAGTCGAGGGAGCACCCGGCGCTGCTCTGGGAGCCAGGAGTGGCCGGCCCAGAAAGGATGGCAGCAGGCGGCCGGGAGAAGTGGGCAGTCCATGCAGAGCAAAGGGGGCGTACTCCTGGGCCTGCAGCCAGGGAGAACAGGGTAGGGTTAGGAAAACCTGCGCTGTGGAGCAGGGGACCACGTTGCGGGCAGATCCCAGTGAGTCTGCACCCAGGTGAGAGGTGGAGTACAGCTGACTAACAAGAAGTCATTAGTGGGGGCTTCAAGGAGAGTCAAGGGCTCAGTCATTTTTTAATCACTTTTTGAAACCAAATTTACATATAAATGCATTCATTTAAAGTGTGCAACTTGGTGATTTTTGGTAAACTGAGTTGTATGACTGTCATCGCTACCTCATTTTAGGACATTTCATCAGCCCTAAAGGAACACTGTACCTGTTAGCATCACGCCCCAGCCTCATAGCTGCCCCTGGGCCTGAGACCTAGGTCACCACAAATCTGTTCTCTCTGAGGGTTTGCCTATTCTGGACTTTGCATGTAAGTGGAATTTGGTCTTTGTGACTGGCTTCCTCCACTTAGCATGACCTTTTCAGGGTTTGCTCGTGTTGTAGTGCGTGTCACTCCTTGCTTGCTACGGCTGCTATTTATGGTGTGAATATAGCACAGGTCAGCTACTCAGACATCAGTGGTAAACATTTACCTGTTTCCTCCTCTTGGCTATCATGAGTCATGCTGCTAGGAACACTCACGTACAAGGTTCCATACAGAACAAAGTTCTCATTTCTCTTGGTACACATGGGGAAGTGGGATCGCAGCGTCACATGGCTCCGCTGTGTCTAACATTTTGAGAAAGCGCTGCACTACTTTTCACAGTGGCTGCCCCGTCTCCTCGTTCCATCAGCAGTGCATGAGGGTTTCGTGTGTCCACATCTTCCCTAACACTTGGTATTGTGTGCCTTTTCGGTTTCAGCCATCCTGCTGGGCATGAAATAATTTCTCATGGTGGCTTTGATTTGAATTTCCCTCGTGACTAACGGTGGGGAGCTCTTTCATGCATTTGTTGGTGATTATTTTCATTGGAGAAATAAATGCTCAAATTCTTTGCCATCTTTAAACTAGAGTATTTGTCTTTTTATTATTGCGTTGTTGGAGCTCTTAATATATTGCGGATGTAAGTCCTTTATTAAGTAAATGATTTTCAAATACTTTCCCCCATTCAGAAGGTAGTCTTTTTTTTTTTTTAAAGATTTTTATTTATTTATTTGAAAGTCAGAGTTACACAGGGAGAGAAGGAGAAGCAGAGAGAGGTCTTCCATCCACTGGTTCATTCCCCAGTTGGCTGTGATGGCTTGAGCTGCACCAATTCGAAGCCAGGAGCCAAGAGCCCCTTCCAGGTCTCCCATGTGGGTGCAGGGTCCGAGGACTTGGGCCATCTTCTACTACCTTCCCAGGCCATAGCAGAGAGCTGGATCGGAAGTGGAGCAGCTGGGACTTGAACCAGTGCCCATGTGGGATGCCGGCACTGCAAGCGGCACCTTTACCTGCTATACCACAGCGCTGGCCCCTCTTCCAAGGAGATTTTGACCACTTCCCCTCTTTCCCACCGGGTCCTGGTGAAGTTCAGTTAAGTTCAGCATGGCTGTGCTCAGCTCAGAGTCACACAGTCTGCTGGGATTCACTTTTCTCCTTATCTCAGGGCATGCACCTTGTCACAGGAAGAGTGGAGGTGGTGGCTGTTCGTGAAGATTCTAGGGGGAGCTGGCGGGCGCCTTGGGGACCTGTGTGAGGGCGGGCTACTTGAAGGTGATCTTGGTGTTCTGATTTTGTCTTCAATTTGCCACTGGGCTTTGGGCAAGCAGCAAGCCCTAGCCCAGTCCGGCATCCTTTACGTTGCCATCGGGAGTCACGTGGGAGGGGCAGTGGTGCCTGCTCTCCACGGAAGGGCAGGAACAACAACAAAACAATAACGCTGCCGAGTGTTGGCAGTGCACACTGTACTAAACATGGTGCTGCATCCCTTCACACGGGCAAGAACTTCCTGTTGCTATGGGAACAGGTTAACCACAGGCTTGAAGATGCCTTAAAGGAACACAGGTGTGTCTTCCGGTGCTGGAGGTCAGCAGTCCAAGCTGAGTGTGTGAGCGTTCGGACGAGGTGTGGACAGGCTCACTTCCTCCTTGGTTTCCCCAGCGCCCTCATCCCTCGGCTTGTGGCCCTGCATCCCACCGCCGTCTCCCCTCTGCTTCCTTCTGCACACCCTTCGTTTCCCTCTGCTTCCCTGTTGTTTGTTTGTTTATTTTTAAATTTTGTTTTATTTGAGAGGCAGGGGGAGGCAGACAGCGAGCATTCCCGTTTACTGATTCACTCCCCAAATGGCCACAAAGGCCAGGACTGGGACAAGTCAAGGGTGGGAGCCAGGCGCTCAATCTGGGTCTCCCACATGGGTGGCAGGGACCCAGCTACTTGAGCCCTCACTGCGGCTCCCCAGGGTGCGCATGAGCAGAAAGCTGAGGTCGGGAGTGGAGCCCCAGGCATCTCAAGTGACCTCTTAGCCACTGAGCCAAATGCCCCCCTTTCTTCCTCTTCAGAGGGTCCTTTGCGATTCCACTGGGCCCACCAGACATTCAAAGATACTCCCCCTGTCTCAGAGTCCTTAATGGTTCACATCAGCGAAGTTCCTTTTGCTAGAATAAGGGAGCATTCACAGGCTCCAGAGATTAGAGCCTGGTGTTTGGGGGCTGTCCCGCAGGTGACTACAGCTCTTAATGCGCCCAGAGAGGACCAGTGAGTGTGACCGACCAAGGCTGCTACTGGCTGCAGCTTGGCTCTTCTCTTCAGAAGCGTGCGCTCTCTGTCTTTCAGTCAGGGTGTCCTGACCCTAATTCAACTCCCACTCCCCATCCCCTGTCCTACCGAAGTTTTCTTTTCCTCCTGTAGCCTTTTTTCTTCTAATAAGCATGGTAATTTCCTTACTTATCACATCTACTAGTATTGGGTTCTTCCTCTAGGGTAGGCTCTATGGGGCAAGGACTTCTCTACTTTAGTCTGCCTGTGTCCTCGGGGTCTAGCACTCTGCCTGGGATACAGCAGATGCTCAACACAGACCCAGGAGATGAATGGCCTCAGGGAGGTGCTCTCGGCTGCAGGTCCGTGCCGTTTTCTTTCGTGGCTGAGCTCAGATTTCATAGTTAGGAAAGCACTGCCTGCTGGGAAGTCTGTCAACTCTGGGTTCCCACTGGTCTCCCCCCATTCCATTAACACACTGGCCCTTTCCAACTCTTAACGCATGCTGAGACTTTCAAAAACCTTGGGTGGAAGTGGATGGTTTGGCATTGAATATTGAAGGACAAACACTGTAGAACTGAAGCATTGCTCGAGTTGGGAGGGCAAGCTGCCCTGCCTGCCATTGCTGGGGTTCATCAGGTTGGGTTGGCTCTGCCCGGAGGCAGTGAGTATGTGGTTCCTGCCACTGATTAGGCTCAGGGCATTTGCTGTAGTGGGCGCTGGGCTCCTGAGGAGGCGGGTGCAAGGGGCCCGGGTGTCCACGGGCTCCCTGCAGCTGTGGGAACCCCCTGGTGTCAGTATGTCCTCAAGGAGCAGAGACGTCACAGACTGCATCAGGGCCTTGATCCTCACGGGGAAAGCGAGCACTTCGATGCTGCCCCAGCTTCCAGGCCCCTGTGGGCCTGTGACTCCCGATGCATGGCTGAAATGAACAGACTGGGCACAGCTGGGTGGAAAGGGGGTCCCCTGTTCTCCCTCGTCCCTGCCCCCAACACAGCCCCAAGCTCTTAGGTTGAAGATGCTGAGCAGACACTCCTTAAATCTCAAGTTGACTGACCATTTTTGTAAGACTCTGGGCATTTCTTGAGGATTTGATTTTTCTCATAGGGAAAACAGGGGTCATTGTAGTTTCTTTGATTTTTCTGTGGGTATGAAAGGGCTTCAAAAGGCCAAAATGCTATAGAATTACAGAGTATTAATGATATGAGAAATGGGATATACAAGTATGCAGTTTTTGCTGTGTGGTAACAGGCTGTCTTGTTCCCTCCTTTGTCCATCCACCCATCTCCCCACCCTTCCACTGATCCATCCATCCCATAAACAAGCACTTCCTCACAACAAGTATAAAAGTTACCACACACAGAACAAAAATCTCTGTGTAAAATATTAGTCCTCCAAATATCATAGATAAACTCACATCCGGAAAGCTCAGGCCCCTGCATGAAATTCACACAGCCAGGAAGTGAGAGAGCAGAGCTTGAACTGGAAACGTGGGTCTGTCTGAGGCCGAAAGCAGTGTGGCTCTGCATCACCCACCTTCCCTGTCCACACGGCAGGGAAGGTGGCGGGCACCGAGGAGGAAGGTGGGGGCGGGCAGGGCAGGAGGAGGGTCCACCAGCACAGACCTGCGATGCAGTACTTCAACTTGTGTTTCACTGTACTGTAGCGTGTGCTTCCCTGGATGGCCTGCAATAACCGTGCTGGTTTTAAAGGATTTCCCACCAACCCGTAAACCAGAGATGCTCTGGGAAGGGCGCACACCCACTCTCCCTGGCACGCACCATTCCTCCGGATCAGATGTGCATTGTGTGTGAGTCTTAATCTCCTGGGTTGGATTAGAAG